TGGGACAGTACTAGACACGCATTATTACTTCAATCATATAAAAGTGACACGGAACGATTTCAAAACTGAGTGGACGATTTGGCTTGCCATCTGCGGTAGACGGATTTCAGACAGAAATAAATCAAAAGGAGTGGAAAAGTGGAAAGAGAGAAGATAAAGTCAGCGGGTCTTTGCACTGTGCATGTTTGGCCGGTCGAGTCGCACAGGTCGGCCCCGGGCGTCAGGCGAGGCAGGTGGTTTGTGACGGGGTAACGACACAATTATCTGCAAAACGACGATAATGATGATTACTGACAGTGAATGGGCTAGCAACGACTGAAACTGGGCCCTAATTAGTGTTGGCGAATTGACGAGAATTCCGCTGCGGAAGTGCGCGTTGTGTGCCATTTAAATATTCCGCACTACCACGCAGTGCGCTCAACTTTGTTCGTTTCACACCCTCACTGGTGAGAGAAAAAAAAAATAGATTCTCGTCAATTCACCTCCATGCCTCTTCTATCTTCATGAAGTAATTTTGTTGAGAGGAAATAATCAAACCATAATCTGATGTGGAGGAAAGCATGTTGGCTGCTCTTAAAATTGATTTCCGCTTAATACCGTCAGTACTTTGTGCTAGAGCTCATGAAATCAGTGTAATTACCTAGCTGAGCACACTTGCACAGGTGGATTTTCCCTGTAAAACGGCGCTTCAAGTATTAATGTTGTGCAGAGCATAGGTACGGCAATATTTTACGAGGTTCATAAAGTTGTTCGTAAGCGCAGGGATGCCAAGTAAAACTAACCAAAACAGGATGCCATAATAATTGTTGGACACTTTTCTTTGGGTCTACATACGGACTGATATCCGCCATCTTGTTTTATGGCTTTGAGCTTGATGCCGAGATCACAATCCCCAAAATGACCGACATGAAATAATGAATATTTTCTTCGAGAAAGGCATTTTTAAGTTATACTATGAGTATGATACTCATTTGACATGACATGAAATGATGCAAATTCAGAACACAGAGTATATTTCTTTCTCGGCAAAGACAACCGACAAAGATAACTTCACAATAAAAGAGATAACTTCACAATAAAAGAGATGAACTTTCTTTTCTGACACTGTCATGTGTCGGAAGAGAAAGCATGCACTGCCGCTGCATAGACTGTAACTTGGTGGAATCTCTCTTAAAAATATACAGATACTTCAGAGTAGACAAATGGAATTCTTCAACCAGTTTGCATGGGACCGCCTCTCAAAGTGGAATTACGTTATACACGTATTTACATTATAAAAAGGGGAAAAACACTTCTCAAGCACTAATACGAACACAAAGTACATGAGAATATGCAGATTTATCGGAAATTGTGCATTTAATGCATTTTAATTTCAAATAGCAAAAAAAAAATACATGGGCCTATATACCTCACAAACCAGAAATTTGAAGGAAAAAAAATATGAATGTTGTAATTAAACAGCAGCACTCTGTAAAATGTTATGATTCTCAAATAAATATGTGAATAGCATTTTATATCGTATAGGTCTCTCTTTCACTTTCACACAACAATAAATCAATCCATACATATTTTATGGGTAAGTATTACAAAATTAAAGAGCATAGTTCAACAATTATGATTATTACACAGACAAAGTTTTCAGAATACAAGTACATGTACCGTGTGAGTCAAAAAAAGTTTACACCTAGAAAATTGCTAATTATTTTAAAAATCATCTATGAACAGTAAATTATTATACATCTTATGAAAGAGCGTTTTATTCCAAATCGTTTGGTATCACTTTTGTGTGGTATGTGTTCACACTTGGATGAACAGGAGGCATTGTTTGTGAAAGTGCAAAAATCGACTTGCGCCAAAGTGATGCCTACAGTATGTATTATGTTGGGATCAGCGGAGTGAGAGAATGAATTGAATGTATCAAATGAAATTCATTGCATATGTTTTTTGCAGAAGCAAAGTCACACGCACACACACTAATGTTTGTTGATATTTTATATTCGATTTTTGATATGTGTGGCATGATTAATTTTGTTCGGGATGTTATGTTGATCTGTAATGACCAAAATAATACCCATATCGCAATTGTTTTATTCAAACATCACATAAGCAACTTTGGCGCAAGTCGATTTTTGCACTCTCGCATACAATGCCTCCTGTTCATCCAAGCGTGAACACATACCACACAAAAATGTTACTAAATGAATCGGGATAAAACACTCTTTCATAGGATGTATAATAATTTACTGTTCACAGATGATTTTTAAAATAATTAGCAATTTTCTAGGTGTAAACTTTTTTTTTACTCACACTGTAGTTGTAAACTGCCGCACAAACACTAAAAACGTATGAATCACGAAAGTAAAGTAGTACATGTAAATATATGTTAAGAATTCAGATTCTACTTTGACAGGTTTTGTGATTTTAAATCTTAACAACGAAAAAGAGTGATTTGAAGATTTTATTAGGCATTAAATACTTAATCTCTACATCTTGTACAGCAAAATCCTGATATTTATAATATGCCTTAGGTGACTGATTATATATCGATATTTCATCCTTGGAAAAAATTCAAATATGAAATCCAAAGAAATTTCTGGCCCTCAAACTTGCCCCTTATTGCAAAGGTGGCTACAGGATATGAGAAAAGAAATTATACTAAATTGGTAAAGTTGTCGCATTATACTTAGAACTTAGACATGCACAATTTTAGGTCATATTTGGTAATGTTACAAGCCCATTTCATCAATCATTACTTCATCTTGCATCATTCACTAATTGTTGCTACAATTTTATGCTAGTATCCCATAATTATTTCTTAGAATAAATTTCAATTTAATTGACTTACATAATCATATTCAATTATAGCTACAACTGCAAAAGAATTTATAAATATATTATGTTACATCCTTTTGCCTTTAGCCTAACCTTTAACATAGTCACAAGCAAAATTAATTTGATATATTGATGTTCTATTCACACAAATGTTATTTGAATAATGATCTTTATTCTCTTTATAGAATACTGTAAAATGTGAAATAAACAGAAACTGACTGAGCCATTTGGAATGTAATCTCCTTATTCTTGGCATAATAGCTGCTTACATAGACTGACCTATGATATGGTAGATAGAAGAAAGATTTATACATCATTCTAAAAAAATCATGTATATTGCTATCACTTAAACTGATTTTTGTTTTTGTTAACTCATATTCCTGAGGCTAATCATGGAATTAAGCTCATAATTTCCCAAAACAATTCCAATTTGAATCAATTTTAATTTCATGTCTTATTCCCCTCCCCCCAAAAAAGCTTTTTATCACTTCTTTGTAATTTATATTTCTAAAAAAATTCCTTTTAAATATCCATGTGTATATAAAATCTAACAAGCTATAAGTAGTCATGAGCCACAATTAACAATTATACTCCATGCTTGGAGGTAGAAATATCACAATAAGTTATGTATAAGTCTTAATGTCAAATTGTATCATAATTACTTTGTATTGCATTTACTTGAATTTTGTATAATGTAAATTCCACTCAATTCAACTGTTGAGCTGCTTTGTGGTTTTCAAATCGAACGTTTTCAAATCAAACCATTTCAAATCAAACTATACCTGGTAAGCAAGGCAAGATAAGCTATATCAGTGGATATAATATACAGGTATTAGATCATACAAGACAAAAATGAAAAATATATGTGGTTAGTAACCTCTCTACATAATTTATAAAGCTAGCAAATATAGAAATATCTCTTTCATAACAAGCATAATTTTAGCATATTGTACAAAAGCTGCACAAAAATAACTCACATCGATCATACACACAGAGAATGCTGTACAAATCATTAGTACAGGTAAACATCTTCATGAATGTCACAGGTGGTAAATTCAACATACTAACTTAATGTTTGCTTCTCTAACATAACATGAGCCAAATAAAATTTTATACGTTAAGGTCCAGAACAGGTGAATAGCCTACATTTATACAAACATTGACCAGGTTTTGTGGTCATGGAGGAATTTTTTCCCCCGACATGACTTGTGTCTCCGAGTCACTAAAGAGTTACCAGTATAGTTTCTCTTATTGGATGCCATTTGATTTTAAAGTAACAAACATTATCAAATTTTCAAATTAGTCTCTAGCCCTCTTTGAACGCGGAGTGAAACTGGACTGAAAATACCGTAAGTGTGTCATATACTGATCCTGCCTCAAATATAAATATGTGAAATAAGATCATTTCAACATGGTACATGTACATTATGCAATAGCAAATGAGAGTATAGTGGTTGTGTAGCTTAAATCAAAGTACCATATTTGTAGATGCCAAACTAATGTAAGAGCGCCATCTCTTGTCTGATTTGAAATTAATAAGTTATAGAATAAAGGAAAAAATTACGAGGGCAGGACTCGAGTCTTGAAGAAGTAGTAACGGCTTGCTTTGGTGCTGAATCAAATGATCATAAGCTGTTTAGCAGCAGAGTTTCAGACAGAATATGTTTAAGCCTCTTTGATTTCAACCATACATGGAAGGGTATTTACAAAATTCAGCAATTCATATCGACCCATTACTTCATAATCCAGATCCATGGATGGAAGGTGACCAATTATTTGACTCCTCTTCATTGTGAACGCAGGTAAACTGTTAGCGATGGAGAGGGTCGAAGCAGATGATATAGATGACAGCGCAGACCTGCCAACCTCTGGAGTTCAAAAACTGTATTCTTTAGTGTCAAAAGTTGTATTTTACTGACAAAAGTACTATCTACAGGAAGAATTTTTTTTATTTATCATTGGTTAAATATGCATTATTTCGTCACGACTGGTGTGTTCGATGAACCAATAAACATCCCCAAATTGCGGATGTGAGATGCTTGTAGGATACTTTACAGGACAGAATGGACATTTTGCCATTGAAAATGGCGGACGCACACACAAAATATTAATTTAAAAAAAATCTTCTTTTTTTTTGTTGAAAATCATATTTTATTAAGGAAAATCATACTGTCCTATTTGCTTCTAAAAATCGTACTAAATACGACTAAATCGAACTGGTTGGCAGGTCTGAGTCAGCGTATTTCAAGCATCAAGTAAATCACAGAACATTGGATTCCAGGAAATTCTTCATGGAAACAGCCATGAAAACAGTAGAATTGCTGGCAAAATTAGAGAGTCTAAACAGGAAAGAAGAGCAGGAATTAATCAGAAGGAGCAACTTGCTGTTCAGACAGAATTAGCTACAGCTACAGCCCAAGCAGCAGCATTACAACAGTGTGATAATTCAGTAAAGTCAAGAATGTAGATTATTAAAAAGAAAAATCAACACAAGAAAGCAAGAACCAAGAACTTGTGCAAGACGTACGAGTGTGGAACTAACCCTCGTATTGATGTTAACTGGGTAAAGCTGCAACGACAACAAACCAAACTTACATACATGCTGTTAGAATGCCACATGAAGTCGCTTTACCTCAAAGGAACATTCAGCCTTTTGACAGGAATCCGCTGCACTACCACGCCTTTAAGAGGGCCTTTCAGTATGTAGTAGAGTCTAAGATATCAGACAACTCTGACAAGCTACATTACTTGGAACGATACACCAGGGGAAAGGCGAATGAGATGGTGAGAAGTTGCATGTATGAAGGTGATGCCAAGGCAGCATTCAACAAAGCAACTATGCTCCCAGAAAGCAAGTTTGACTCCATGATCAACAAGGCAATGGCATGGCCAAACATTAGATGTGAGGATCCGGAGGGTACCGGTATGCTAAGTCTTTTCATTGTTTGTGACTGAGCTAGGCGATATGGCTAAGGACCTAAACCTTCAACAGGTGATTGACTACGCATATCAAAGCTGCTGTTCAGACTGCAAGATAGATGGAGGAGCTTTGAGGATGGTGTACTTCAGAATCGGGATGAGCCCCTCTTATTCGAAGATGTGGTAAGCTTTATCAGTAAACAACCCCATCTATGGTAATAATGGAGGATCTGCCAAAGCTGGAGAAACACAAACAAAGACAAAAACCTTCCCAGCATGAAGAAGAGTGAGGAAGTGAAGTGTTTTTATTGTGACAAAGAAAATCACCCTACAGCATAATGCATGGCCCTGGGAAAGAAACCTCATGAAGAGAAATTTGCAATTTGAAAATCAAAAGGGCTGTGCTTTGCTTGCCTTCAGTCTTCATATCTTGCCAAGGATTGTAAACATAGGATGACCTGCAGGATCTGTCAATAGATGTGTCTCTAAAACTTTAAATTTGAACTCACTACTGTGGCTCCATCTAACGTTCTTCATGTCAAGTCGATCAGAATGCTATAATACAATGATTCTATCAATTCCTATTGTTGTCCAAACAAAACAAGAACAAGAAAGCGGAAATTCAAAGCAGGAGAAGTGGTTAAAAATCTGTCGTTTCCCAGGGTTACTGCCAGTGATTTTTCTTTTTTCATTTTTTCTATAACTTATAAATTTCAAATCGGACGAGAGATGGCACTCTTACATTAGTTTGGCATCTACAAAATTGCTGTCCTCCCTTTTTGAATTTTTTTGCATAGGTTGAAAATGTGTCTCCCTCTGTAATTGAACTTGGGTCACTGGCTTAGACACCAATGCCTTAGTCACAGAGACGGGCCAGTGGCTTCGGTGACACCAGGTTCAATTGACCGACGGATTGACAAATTTTCAAAAAGGATCTAAATATCATCTGTTCAGTGCCAGAAGGGTGTTAACTCATATCATGACTCCGCATACATGGTCTGTCCTTCTGGCTTGCTACAGATAATAAGAGGTATATATGAATCATAACAAATATTACTTTGAATTTTAAAAAAGAAAAAAAAGAAACCTAAGTCACCCTAAATTCATAAAACCCACATCAAGAAAAGAGCACTAGACAAGGCTCAATGCACAATGATAATGTAAGAATTGCCTGAGGTTTTACAATGACTTCTTAAAGCACACATTTTCAGTATCTACATCAAATACTACCCTATGAGTGAGGGCATCCATACGCTATCAAATGCAGCAAAGTTTCCTTGAGGACACTGTTAGAATACTGGTGTGTGTTTGGTTTGATTGCTATAAATAGGACATTGTATTTTATAGTGATATGGGTGATTGCAACAAAATCAAAGAGATAACTAAAATAACTCAAGTAAAATAATCCCAAAGCACACAGGTGAAACACATTCATTATAAGTTAAACATTTTCGAAAACACGCTGCACATTCTTTAATTATTCACTAATAAAGAAAATAATCTACAAAATTGTGAACAAAACATGACTGAAAATAAGAGAAACCTAGGGCAGGTATTGGTCACTCATGTGAAAGGTCGTTTTTGGGTCAAATTTGGGTCTCTCCGAATCAAAATCAAAATGTTGATAGTACAATAGTACAATCAGTGCGCATGATTTGTTCATAGATATATATATATATATATATATATTAATTTCTCCTCTTTCTGTTAAAAGGCAATTAAAGAAGGATATATAATTGAATTTGAAATAAATATCTTGCCCAGTAGATTAAATGCCATGATTTACAGTCAATTTGACAATGGCATTGTAATCTGTGCTCAGAGTTAGAAGGGTATTAGCTCCATATGTTATAACACAGAGTTAACATCCTTCTGACTATCAACATATGATCTCATCTCTCAACACATACAATACGAGACAAATCAAACTGTCTACCAAAGATTCTTCTTCTCCTGCTTTATCTTATAAAGAGGAAAAACTTGAAACAGAAAGATATTCAAATCGTATCCTCTTGCTCTCTTCCCAAAGCACGATTAAGCTGACTATTGTTGTTGTTGTTGTTTTGTCTCCTCATCCTTGAATGGCTTGACTTTCCTTCCACACACGTAGACCTCCTCGATATTTCTATCATCCCCTAGGGATAAGAATGAAAATAAGAAGAAGAAAAAAAAAGAGTCAGCTTTTTGCAATAATAATCACAATATCATTGATAGCACTGAATCTATCTTTGTCTTGCTAAGCTGTTATACCTTCTTATTAATGAAACTAATCTGATTTATATCATATTAAGGTTTAAGGTTTATTCTATACATTGCAAACTAAATCCTATTTGATATATCATCTGGTATGTCACTTGAATGTAACTCCTTTTATAAAACTACAGAGAACCGAACAGTAGAGGGCACTCTATTGAATTGCCATAAGTGAATATTTGATCCACACTAATGCAGACAGTGCTCTATTGTACAATTAGGCTACCACTAGCATGAACGAGTATACAAATAATACACAGCAGTGAGGGCATTAGTAAGAATTACCCACACAAGGTACCTTTGGAACAGGCTAACACACCCCAGGCAATAGCCAAGGGTTTTTGGACTGTTTCGAAGGTACAGAGTGTGGGTAATTTTACTAATGCCCGAACAAAATGATGTGTATTATTTATTTGTTTTATATGATGATCTTTTATTTGTTTTATATGATGATGTTTGATTTGTTTTATAAAATGATGTTTTATAACATGATTTGGATAAGGACCGGTCATTACCATTGGGGTAATGACCGGTCATTACCCAAATTACGTGTTAGGCAAAATAAATGCCTGGTCACGTGTACGCTTTCAACTAATCATTTGATTAGGATCTACGTCATCATCTTATAAAAAGTAATAATATCAGCCATTCCCCTGTCAAAACGATTTAGAGGTTTTTCACTCATTACCTTAATCCACTATAAGATCACAGCAATAACAGTGGCATAACTACTGGTGTGGCCCTGGGGCATATAACCCCATAGAATCGAGGGGGGGGGGGAGGAGAATGTAAAGAGAAAGAGAAAGATAGACAACAACAAAATAGAAAGGGAAAGTAAATGTGAAAAGAAGATGATAGGGCCTTCAACAATACCCTTTCCCTTTATAATCGGTGGCCATGAAAATTTGTATGCCATCCACGCAGTAACACTTGTGCCCCCCCCCCCCCCCCCCCCCCCCACTCCATGGTTGTACTCAAGCTATGCCACTGCCCTGAAAATGTACTTTTATTGATCTTACCTCGGAAGAAGAACTTTTGAACCACGTCCTGCACAAACAATCAAAACCAGAAAGAAAATGTCACCATTAGAGATTCTTATCAGAAAATAAAAATTAAGAAATCATAAGGTGTTTTGAGTTATTTAATATTTTTATGTCACCTGTCATTTAAAAAAAATCTTTTTTTGCTCCACAATGATTATGACCTCTAAAATCTGAGATAGACTGTACACAAATCTAAAATTAGAAAGACAAAAAAAAATACTACTACTACTGTCTCTTCTCTTGACTTTGTTCATGTCATTGTGCATCTCAGTGCTATATCTTAATATTTCCCGCAAAAAAATATATAGGATGAAATTGATACGCAAACTGACAAACTCAAAATTCACAAACCTTTTATCTATATTTACATTGCATCTTGAAAATTTACCACAGATTTCAAACTCACCTCAAGTGAATCTTCGTATGCAGCATTTTCAAAGATTTCAAACGGTGAGTCTTCCGTATCCATGGTAACCAGTAATGCATCAAATTCCTTGCCCACTTCAAAGTTACCAACTGTGTCCTCTATCCCAAGAACTAAATAAAACATGAAGAAAAAGAACAAAAATTGATATAAAACTCACATGCTTATTGCTCTATAACTGGGGCAGAAATATGAAGACTTCATTAACAATGACCACTCGACTCTGAAATACAGTAACAATGATTTGTTTTTTTTTTCAAACTAGAAATCCAACTGGTTAATGTTTTAAGAAGCTTGCTTAGAATCCTTCTCCGACCCCCCCCCCCCCCCCCTCCACCTCTCCTGTAAGTAAACTGTAACGACAAAGACCCAATTATTTATCACCGGGAGAGATCATTACATACAGGTCTAACTGTGTATATTACTAAGAAAGATGTTACATCGGTAATACATGAAGACCGTACCTTCGCTACCACCTAATGTTGCTAACTGGAAGATTTCTTTAAAATCAAGGTGTCTATATGGATGCTCTGGTAGATGTTGTATACTCTGCACGTTGGTTGCGGTGACAGCATCTCGTATGGCTCCAAACATGGACGGATTATAACCACCAGACACATCTACATAAGAAAAAAAGGGATTATATTAGGCATACCGGTAGAACAATGGCGTTCAATTTCAAAGGCACACCTCATGATCAAATTAGAACCTCTATAAAGTTTTACAGATCTAATGATATCGGATCACTGATAAACTGTGTTTTTACAAAGATTTTATACACAGTAATAAATTACTGGAAATAATCCAATGAAAGCCAATAGCTGTCAGTCAGCAGAAGAGTGAGTCGGGAATGTTTGCATGTTTCTTTTTTACACTAGGTGATTCTATGTTAAAGGGATCCGGTAACTTTGTCTCAGATTCTGAAACAAATCCTGGATTTAGCTCATGCTGCAATGATAATTATAAACCTTTAGGTCAGTCAGGAACCCCATGACTTTTACAAGCCGATCGCCTGTCTGATTATCAAGATATTAATGATTGGAAATCAAAACCAAATTTTGCGTTTTCCTAATGGTTTTCATAACACAACAGTCTATTGGGGAAAATTAGTATGGTAAAACTGGTCACTCAAAGATTTTTACTTTTTTGAGGCACTTCTTGATCATTTTGAAGCGCAATTTTGTTAGGTCTTCAATATTACACCACATCATAGACACTGATAACATGTAGGGCTGTGCATCTCAGATTTAACATTGTTAAACAATGCCTTTAAGAAAACGACCTTTGACCTTACCTGTTCCTAGCCCGAGTTTGACACCACTGTCCTTCATCTTCCTACAGTCCATCACACCACTCCTTAACCTGATAAAAGATTCAAAAGATTTGGGACATTTTTGTGGATTACAAAAATGGTCACAGTTGAAGAGGAAAATAGCCACATTGGTTTACATGTCACACAAAGTAGGTTGTTCAAAGACTAGCTATTGAAGTTGACAATTTTTGTGACATTACTTTATACTGTCAGTCAAACATATGATCTAATGGGATATCTCTTGACCTGTTTTAATGTAATATATATGTACATCTTTGTAATTTTAAATTTTAACAACCTACACTGCAAATTTTTCAAGTACTCAAATCAAATGATCAACAAAAATATGCTTATTGTCAAATATGAGGGTGTTTCCTCTATGTTGAGTAGTTCTTCATGTCACTATTGCTTAGTTTAGTTAAATAATTTACGAGCTATCATCCAATTGCCTTACATCCTTTACAGATCATTGAGGTCAATTTTTTGTTTAAAGCTCTAAATTACATCATCAATCCTTGAATTTAAGGGATATCCTATTCAGCATGCAAGGATAGATAGAGTACCGATACAGGAAATATAAATTTGGTCATCATTGATTCTTATGAAATACACACACAAACACCCACGCAGCTCATTCATTATTGCTCAATCAGACCACATTATTATTAGCTACATATTTACTGCATGAATGACCTTCAATTCAGTTGAAGTACACATCGGTTGCTCCCCAGCCCCCACTCCCACCCCCTCTCTTTCTCTTATTTTGTATTGTAGCTGGGATGATGTGACTGGCTAAGGTCATGGATGATATCATTTCAATAAACATGATCCAAGAGGGAACAGTCAACATCATTTGTATTATCTCATCAAGCCTACTAAATCCCATTGGCTACGTGTAGGTCATACCACATACCACAGTTGCTATTGTCTATTTAAAATCACTTAATCACAAAATGTCACATAACCATTCTATCATAAATTTAGTGTAAAGCAATTTCTTGAGTAGTATACTGAGGTTTGAGCAATGGACCCTGTATTATTTGCTCCTTGTGTGGATAAATTTTGTTTAAAGAGAAATCCAACTTTTATAGCAAACTACTAGAAGAAAGCAGAATATTCATAGAAGCAGCCTGGTGAAAGTTCTAAAGAAATTGGAACAAAAAAATGATATAGTTATGAATTTTTGAAAGTTGTAATCCCCATGGGCTGAGTTGAGGTCCCTGTGATGTAATGGCAGACAACTTTCTTATTTGGTCCAACAAATAAAATGACTAAAATTTCAATTTTTCAAAAATAATATGCTATGCATAAAATATTTTGAGTAGTGCCCAAAGGAAGAAAGAACTTGGGAGAAAAACAGAAATTAATGATAATTCTGTACATGATAAATGGAAGAGTTGTCAATGTCTTCGTCACAATCCACAGACCAAATTGCCTATTTGAGATTCGCACAAAATTTAGTGATCGCATATTTCAAACATTCATTATTCTCTTAATTATTACTGATATGATTTATTTCAAACTTTCACCACTCTGTTTATCTTAGGTTTCTGTTCTCGTACAAATGATCTTATTACAAGGGTTGGATTCCCCTTTAGAGGCTCATAGAAGTGGGTTCTCATTAGGCACGTCTTCATCATCTCGAGATTGCCAAATAGCCCGCTATTTCTGATTCGGGAAATAATCCCGAAGTTACAAATCGCGTCTTCATCAGCTCGAGATTCGACCTCGAAACTTGAAACTCGACCATGAGAAATTAGCTCGAGATATTTTGCTCAGCGTTAGCGCATAGTGCGAGTCTTCGGTCTGGTGAAGACGTACCGGACAAATAGCTGGATATTTTGCCAAATAGTGGGATATTTTGCAAACTATCTCAAGATATCTTGGGATGACAATCCCGACCAAATATCCCGCTAATTGCTACTTCGGTCTGATGAAGACGCAAATTAGCTGGATAGTTTGCAATGGGGATAGTTCAAATAGCTGGATATTTGGCAATCTCAAAATAATGAAGTGAAGACAGGCCTATTGGGAATTTGACATTATTCAGGTGCTTACTCAATAACAGGTGTTGTCAATCACCAAGAGTGAACTTCACTTTTACGACCATCAGGTCTTGTGCAATGCTTTGTGCTCTAAACAATTACCACCATAAGGAATTCTCATCATGATAAACTTCTCTCACTCTCAAGATATGAAGGCAAGCTGGAGTATTTTTTTATGGGACAACATGTTCGCTGCCTGAGAGACCTGTGCACACATTAAATGGTAATTCAACCAAATCCGGAGTCAGCGAATTATGATGCAATACACATGGATACCGACCAATATGTGGCTTTAAAACTCAAACATAGATCCCATGGTTTCCAGAATACCATTCATCAATGTATCGGTGTGTGCAGTTATGACAATTACTCCCGCTTTCCTCCAAGTTGTGAATAAGTGCTTGGGCAATCAGTTCGCTCCTAATATGTGGCTTTTAAAGCCCCACTGCACTACTTATAGCTACTTGCGCCCTCTATACGACTAACAGTACCCATTGATCCCCATGATGCCCGTCTTGTTATGTTAATTGAGAGCTGATTTGATGAGATAACCACCTGCCAGTGACCTTGCAGGGAAGTCTAATCCCTCCATGCCAAACTACTGCAGAGGGGCTTTAAGACTTTGTAAATGCAATATAATTCTTTAATGTGCATTCTATCTAATTCTCTCATGCATTCTATCACAAAATATTAGTATCGATTGTGGAAGAGGTTCACAAAAGAAATTAAAAACCAACTTACGAGAAGTTTGAGCAGGGGCAATGTGACATAGCTGAACCTCTGTCTTTGAAGGTCTGGATTTCATCATCATCCAAGTACACACAGTGGGCCATCAGAGTCTGATAAAAGATATCATCAATCAAATCATTCATTGGATGCATACTGGCTAAACCAGGCTACTCTCAAAATCACCACAAAAACTGAACTTGTCGGACATGTTATCCAATACATGTCCTACAATGATACTTTCTAAGATATGTGTTGTTTAGGTAAATATAATCTTTTTGTGATAAAGATGTTGTTCTTGATGATGATGACGATGATGGAAACGGGAGAAAGTGTTTCACAAAGATCCTAAGTCGAACTTAACTCTAAGTTGGACTTCAAAGTTGTGGAGAGCCATTTGTAGCCTTAAAATAAAGTATATTAAAAAGTGAAAATTCAAGCATTTTAGACTTTTATAAATTCCACATCACGAACATGAAATTTTCTTGGTAATAGAAAATATGAATGATTTGAATCAACATTTTACGCCTTTTAAAATAAGTTTTACAAAACATTTTCATAGATGGTAACGGCTTTCCATATTTGTTAAGTCCAATTTAGAGATAAGTTTAACTTAGGATCTTTGTGAAACACCCCCCTGATGATGCAATACTAAATGTATGAGACTATGCTCCGATCATAACTCTTACTATCTTGCCATGGTAAACAAATATACCATGCACTGAGCGCAGACGACAGTACTGCGACTGCGACCGATAGCACATTGATCTTGATCGATCGCATATATATGACGTCATCCATGGAACAGTGCACTATACCATGGATGACGTCATGATTACATCATAGCAATGTTATATTTGGTCACGTGCTGCTATGTTGACCAATCACTGAACAGGATTTCATTGATCAAAATATAATTTCATCCATGCTTACTCAGAATGAGGGTGGGGGGCCTGGGTACAAGGTTCCAACTGTTAACTTGAAGAGATTTAGAGTCATTTAAAGTCATCACGATCTACAACCCAATCATTTTGTGGGTAGCACGTCACTCTAGTAGTTCTCCGAAGGGATACGGAAAATGAGAGGATAAGTAAACATACAGAAGGAGAAGGATTCAGACAAAAGAGAACAAGAAAGTAGATAGTGAAAATATATTTACCTTGTCAGTCATGAGTCCACATTTGTCATAGACATCTGTGTAGTTCTTACAATCAGGATAAGCCTCTAATACACTCTTGATCTCATCTCTGTTTTCAGATATATGACTCTAGAAAAACAGAAGAGAGAGAGACAAAAAATGTTAAAGTAACATGATGCTTATGGATGATATTTATGGAAAACACTGATTAAAGATAAACTTTAGTACTGGTAATGCGATTGCATTGTGAAAGAAAAGGTGTGGAAAGGATCAGAAACAGTTGATCATGTAGCATGTAAGTATTGGTGTGCACTGCAAGGTTCTGGAGTCATCAAAATCATAATAAATTTGACCAAGTCTTGGTAAAGTAACAAGCACTGTACACAAGAAGCTATATATGGGACAACACACATGGTGTCGGGGCTAGTACTACCTTGATTTCCTTGTCTTTCTATGCTCATTTCTCAGCCAATATAAATTTTCTTCCAAAATTGTTTGGCACATGTCATTTATTTGTAATCTTGAACATTCAGTGTAAGTTTTGTTTGATTCTGTGAGAATTAATTTTCTTTTTTTTTACCAGAACTGGAGTTTATCTTTAAATATTACAGTATTAAAAATACCTGATTTTAGAGACTTAATACAATATTCATGACTTGTGATTACATTTTGTTGCATTTTCGTTTACATTAGAATATAATACACTATACATTTATATGTTATCACCTTATATCTTTACAATGACAATGAGGTGGTATGATCTAACAACTATTGCTACGCCGTCAAATACCCACACTAACCAAAACCCTGATCCATCCTGATCCATCCTGATCCATCCCATACTATATATTTATACCTAACCCTAACCCAAGAAGGTGCCATATGGCTAATTTAGATAAACACTCAATTTTGTTATTTAATACCTATCAGTAATACCATATACCATTTGGCCATATTAGTTAATATTGATTAGATAAGAATGACTGCTATTTCAAGGTGTTTACAATTTACATGTTTACAAATTAAACCTGGATTGAAGATGCCATATGGCTAATTTAGATAAACACTCAATTTTGTCAATTAATATCTACCAGTAATACCATATACCATTTGATTACTGGTAATTAGTTCTACTTTAATATATGCCATATGACTATTTTATTATTCCTTTTTCCTGATAACCATCTGAACAGCAGGGCTGTTTTTCAATGCATTAATAACCTCACATATGTCATGTTACCTTGAACACAATTTAGCCTGCATAGTGCGGTTACTTCGCAATGATGTAAATACTTTTGATTTTTATTTCTTTATTGCAACAAAACCTCGGGGTTGGATTTCAAATACAAACAGATGGATAAAACTAGTAGAAATAACTTACACTAAGTCAAAGAAAGGGTCGAGCCTGTTACATAAATATATGAATAATATTGTGCTACAATCAAATTATTACATAATATTATAAAATAAATTAAAGTAAAGTCACGAGTACAGACTTATTCCCCTCTTAATACCTTCCTACACTAAACATGTGATCTCCTCATCTTTCCGAAAGGATTAAAAGGGCTCAGTAATTACACAAATCTTAACATTCAAATTTGTACAGGTTTAGATACGTTTTGTTTGCTTAAATTGATAAATGAATGAACGATAGTGGGGATCTGACATCTGCTCTAGCGACAACCACTCCAGGATTTATTTTTGTCATGGATATATTTAAAGGTTGGTGCTAGGTTGGAAATTGGATCATAGCTTAGGTCTACAGTTCTGGTTTGGGATCGATTTAGAGTTAGGTCGAGGGTTGAAGTTTGGAAATATCTTGAGTAGGAAATTGTCTGCGGATATATTGTCGCTGAACAATGTGCTGTACAACCATTGATAGTTACTCACCTGCACACGTATATTGTGTTTTTTAGCAAGCTCTCCCAAACCTGTCATGAGTTCCCAGGAACACGTGATAGCAAAGCGGGGCGTGATGACAGGAGCTATAAGAGGGTTGTCTAAGTCTTTCATCTTCTCAATAAACCTAATCAGAAGAATCATGTCATACAAACAATTAGAATAACAATCTGTAGGTGTTGTTTTCGTTTATCGAAGGAGTAATCATACAAGAATGCAATACAAATCATCTGTTTGGAATCACTCATATCATACTTTAACACAAAGTTAATGCCCCTGTGGCTATTTTATTTCATTTTTTGAATATCGATGCTGGATTTTTTTTAAATCACAGGATAGTTCATAAAAATAATTATATTCTGTCGAGAGCAAGAAGTGCATTGACGCACATCACTCCACTTACCTTACGATCAATATTTTCTGAACCTGTAGATGTAAATTTGGGCATAATTATTTGACTACCGGTAAAACTAAAGTGAGAAAGATGCAGGCAGAGCCTTGAAATTATATTTGTTAACAAATATTGGATGCCTATTATCATTCTTTGTAACTAATATCAAATTTGAATTAAGAATTCCCATAATGCCATTAGTCATTACCTTCAACTTATGCATGTGTCCTTCATGACAAAGACACAAGAATTTAACAAACTGGGAATTAGTAATTTTAACTACCAGTATATTCTTTGCAGATAACAAGCACTGAATAATCACATACTAGCTACTTTGGATTAAATCAGTAGTTCTTACCATTCTGTGTCTGCTAAGGACTGGCCCAGTGTTTCTATGTAATTTGAAGGTGAATTCTTGTCTGCATTCACTTTTCCAACAAATGCCCTTTGACCCAGGTCAGCTGTAACAGGCAGGGAAAAAATGAATACTTGAATGACATCATGTAATAATATGGATTTCAGGTAGATGATGTCTTCTGGTACTCAGAACTAACAAACATTTAAATAAAGATAATCATAACTCATTGCCTTGACAGTGAATTACTTTTATATCAAAAATATCTGAAAAACATGGATAGAATGTCTTGCACAGACACCTTTTGAAACAAGTTGAACTATATGATACCAAATTATTCATTACATTTCATTCCAATGTCTTTTTCAATACGAATACAAAACATCTGTAGGTGCTGAACCTCACCTGCAATTTCTGCTAACTTAAGAGAAGATTCCTTATGAATTGTTGCAAAGTAAGTGGCTGTTGTTGTACCGCATGTTAATGTACGCCTCTGTGGAGAACAAACACAAAGACATACCTAGTACATCAGGAGGGGACATTGGGGAGCTACAATGTACATGCAGAACTTTAATAGTAGGTTACTTTGACAGTCAAATGTCTGATCCTATTGAATTCATTTCAGTTCAAAATGACAGTTTCTTCCAGTTATACAAAGCTTTCACATTTTACTGATCATTTAAATAAAATGTAGGTAGTAAATAGTTTAAGAGCATTGGGATAAACGATGCAGGACAGAAGGCTTAGAATCCCATGCAAGGCAAGAGCTTGTGATGGGTACCCATGTATGGTTTGGTTTGGTTTTGATTGAAGGAGAGCATATATAGGATGCAACCAAGGGACAAACTGCTTCAAGTCCTAACAAAAGGACAGGATCACAGAGAATGAATGCCTTGTCAGAGGGCACAGGTGCATCGGCCAATTATTGAATTTATGACCTAAACTATGGTCACTGCTCCAACGACTGGACACGCTGTATAGCCAGGGGTCAATACAACAGGGATTCAGTACTCTTGGACCAATCTCACCCCCCCCCCCCTGAATTAGGATTAAGGCCCCTATAAAATTGCCAAATGTTCACAGGGGTCTGGTGCACACTGAATCTTAATATTTTGCTAAGGACATCCAAGAAAATGGTTAGTATGCATCCTTGGTATAGAATCATACTGGTAAGCGGCCCAAAATATCTGTATTTTTATGTTTGCAATATTTACTGTCGAATAAATAACAGACTACTGATAATAATAATATGATAATCTGGATATACATATAGCCCTTAATACGAATTACCATCTAAGTGCTTTACAGATATTATTATCCCAGTCATCACGTTCATTCACCAATGTGTGCACCATCTCCACTCCCTTGGGAGTATTCCTACCATATGGTCACTGTGGGGGCATATGGCATATAACACAAAGGCCTTTGTCATCCTACCAGGCCCCAATCCTCTCCTGGGTAGGGAGTTGCAGATGAAGATCAATGCCTTGCCAAAGGACAGTGTCGCGTCGGGGATTGAACCTACGACCTTTGCATTTTAAGTCAAGTGCTTAAACCACTGGACTATGACACCTCTACAGATCTACCTCTTGATACTGCGAGGAGTTTGAATCTCCAATATATTTTGATTGCTTAGTGTTGTTCACACAAAAGATGAATACCTGTTCTCATTTTCTGAATTCTACTCTGCAGCAAATATTGAGCAATGAAAACAACTGTAGGTGAGCGGGGCATGCATCATCGATCATCTTCATTTAACAAAAATCAGGCCCTATTTTAACAATGAAGATAGAATCTTGTGACCAAGGAAGAGGTATAAGTGATACATCCCCTCAGGCAATGCAGGCAATCCTGTCTCAATGTTTTCAGAGTCGTACAGGGTCACACAGTCTACTAAGTATTAACAAATCATAAAAGCATTGATTTGGAAAATACCGGTAATTAATGTACCATGACATAATGATTTATAGAATAGAGTTCCCTGAAAAATCATTCATGACTGCTTCCATACAGCAATATGTGTGGTATTGTAGCAGTACAATGTCAAAGGTTCCCATTACTCATGCCCCTGTGACTTATGAGCTGGCTAAGCGCTTTCCTTACAACTATGCAATACAGTTTTGTGCTGTAAAACCAGAAGCTCCTGAGTGCATGAAACTTTTGCAAATTTCAAAGCGGTTCAGATTGACAACAGTTTCATGCCATAAAACACTTAAACTCTGACTGACACAACACACCATTTTTGCAATACCTGGTATATTGATATTTATTTCAGCAAAAATGGTTGTCACTTACAATTTGTAAAAGTTTATAACTGTGCACACTGCTGTCAATGTGTAGTGAATTTTACTTTAACAGAATGAATTCTACAAGATGCCCATTTTCGTCACCCAGGTTAAGAGAGACAACTAACTACCAGTACACATACTCACCACCACTTTCTTGTAGGCATGAGTAGCAAAGTCCAGATCACTGAACTTGGCTTCTGTTGGATAGGTGTAACGGCTCAGCCAATCAAGTAACGTAAGGTCCAGGGCGGTGCCGGCGTAGACGGACTGGGGGGCGTGGATGTGGGTATCGATGAGACCAGGCATCACAAACTGGCTGTACAGTAATAAAGAATTAAAGGATGGTATACTTTCACGACTCTTAAGTGTTAGGCATAGCTCTAATATTTTACAATAGAGGGTAGTCTTTAAAAAAAATCTCTGACAAGCAGAAAAGGGGGGGGGATGCAAATCCCTGAGAACCCACAGAGCCCCCCCCCCCCCAAGTCTACATAATAATAGGGGCATAAAGTCAACAAATGAAGAGTTTGTGAACAAAAGCAGCATGAAACTAATGCATATTATTTTATAATTACCTTCTTTTTTTTTCTTCAGGATTTTCTATTATTTCTGAGACAGTGAGTCTGCAGTCTTCAATTGGTAATTTCAATGCCAATCCCTATCTAAAAGCCCAAAATTTGTGCTTTGAATTTGACAATTGTTCTTAAAATGACTTGGAGCGCAGACCTGCGATGGTTCTCTATAGATAGTACTATACCACAGCACACCTGAATAAATTATATTAAATGCATTTCAAAAAGTATTGTGATTATTAGAAAATAATCCCTTCTCAGTTGACAGTTATATGAATGTTATCTTGATTTTACCCTTGGGCAAAGGGCAGGCTTTCATTCATATTAACAGTTGAATATAATATCTTTTGAAAATTCCAAATTTGGAAAAACTTTAGGGAGTTTCATTATGAAATTCTTTTATATAACAAGCACGAACATTGCAATTTTATTTGATCTCAATTTTTTTTCTTCACAATTCAAAGAGCCACTGGAAAACAGTCCTAACTAGAAAGCACACGGAAATGCACATTTAAAAGTGTTGTGATGTTTATTATAAATGTGCTTTTTGATTCATCATCACACGTTTAGACAAATTCATTTCATAAACAATACTTACTACTTTGTCAAGTATTTCACACATCCTTTGGAAAGATTATGCTGGTCCAAAAGTTTGTCTAAATCCTCTTTCGGCTGCACAAATAATATCTGTTTAGAATTCAATACAGAGAAGAAATAAGTGTACGGAAAACATAAAAAAGTGTCTGAAGTTTTACAGTGTCAACATCACAAGAACAGTTTCAAAAGTATTTGTTTTAGAATTTTTCTGTTAGAGGGTTTGTAAATCATAAACAGTTACCAGAATGCTCCTAAAGACACTTAAACGGGCACTGAACTGTTTTCACTCAGCCCTTTCTGATGTAAATTGCAAATCTGAAAATAAATTGTAACCTAACTGCCAGAGAGCCACAAACATTTCAACTTCATGGTTTCACCAGTGATTAACTAAACTTTATCATTTCACCACAGCCCACATGTACATGTAGATGTTTTCAAGGAATTAACCTCGAACTAAAAATTGGCATGATGAAAGCTGCAATCCTGATATTCATTTTAACCTATTTGTGAGTTACGTGGGTGAGTCAATAATGGTATCAAACTGGTCAAAAGAGTATAATAACAACTAGCTGTCAGCAAATTTATCAAAGAAAATACAATAGGCTAGTCAATCACAAGGGAAATGAGGCTCAGATGATCAAACACAGGCCTACAATTCAAATTTACTTCCACATCCATACATTCATACTTATTAAATGCTTGTGACCATCTTTTTGTTATCAAAGGCCAGGTTTTTGTTATTTTGTGTTGACTTTCTCTATATTGGAGACAGCTTGTCTACAAACTAGGCGTTTTTATGGAAGAGCGGTTGATTGATTACATTCAGGAATCTAACAATACTTTGATACAGATGATTGCTGATATGATTTAAAAGTGGTTAAATGATATCATCCTTTTTGTTTTAATCCTTAAAAACTTATTGTATGAAATAATTTGTTAAAGTCATTACAATTCATCAAGTTCTTCCTACCAATATCTAATATTTCAATGATAGAATTACGATTTGTATAATCATGTGGTATTTGATAAAGGAATATATACGGCCACAGAACAGACAACCACAGAACATAACAACCGTATGTTCAAATTTTGAACATATACGGCTCATGAATACACTCTAAAAAGTTCATTCCGAACCCCTTCTAAAAAAAGTAAGTGTGGACTGTGGAGCCCATATAACCAAATGCATGTTAATAATACATGTGTCCATCAATTTCATGTTGAGATTATAACTTATGATATTTGACTTCAGAAAATCAAATCAAATATTTAGACATCTTGTGAAATGTGAAGACTCGTCTAAAATTAATTCAATTTGTTTTAAAGGAATTACCTGCAAACTTGATTAAAACAATGAATCTACAAACACCAAGATATTTGCATCAATTTATTTCATATCTGATTATCTGATACACATAATTTGTAATGTGCTAAAATCATAATAAATGGGACAATGTTTCTGAATATACTATAATTTGACTCTTGGAGCCAAGTCTGACTTGAAAAGAGCCTGGGATTTTATGACTTCATATTTATTGCATGGGTTCTGGTTCCAAGCTTGAAGTGTTAATTGAGCTATTGTGATAATATTTGACATACCATTCAATCTTCAAAGTACATACATAGGCGCATTTATAACTGTCAAATACCACATTTCAAAAAAATTGTGATGTTTCACGCTCCCGCTTACACTTGGCATGTTTTGGTTGGTAATGCGCATGCGCGGTCTTCTGATGCAAAAAGCTTTTTCGATCAGCTGTTTTTACACCGTGGCTACTGCAGTCCAAGAACACAGCTAGGCTGAGCTAGCCCAGCTCCTAAAAATCGCAATGTTTCTGCTGCGAGCATTTATTCTCACCAAACACACCAAAAAATAACACTTTGGTTTGGAATGTTTCAGGCTTGGCACTTTTGCCGGTAAAGTGTAGTTGCCTTGGAAACATCACTGAAACATCGCGGTCAGGCTCAGGTTCGGCATTATCGGGCGTGTCTGGATGCAAGTGTAAATGGCCCTCATAATTACATATTGTATAATCAGTTTGAAGGTTTTTTCCTCAAAATTGTTGCGCATAAAAGTTAACAATGGAAACATGCAGTGAAAAATGCTCTTTCCCTCTTTGACAGGTAAATTTCCATAGAATAAAACAAATTAATGTGACAGTTGGAAAGGCGTATTTTGATGAAATATCTCTTTTGTTTGAATTGACAGGAGGAATACGGTATATAAAACAAATATTGACTGCTTATTTTACAGGTGACGTTTAAAAGTAGGCCTATAACTCCTCGGTGATCTCGAGACTGCACTCTGCCCCTCGATTTCTGTCTCGGGTCACAATACAGTTTTGAGACTACCTTGGGAAATAGTTTTAAACACGCCCCTCAGAGCAGTCAATATTTGTAATTTTGTTTACAATGCATTACCACTGAAGGACATGTGAATAATTTCTAGGAACCACAGTCAATTAAGTATCTCTCATCAATAGGCCCGTCTTCACTTTCTCAAGATTGCCAAATATCCAGCTATTTGAACTATCCCGATCGCAAACTATCCAGCTATTTGCGTCTTCATTAGACCGAAGTAGCAAATTAGCTGGATAGTTGGTCGGGATAATATCCCAAGATATCTCGGTCTAGTTTGCAAAATATCCCACTATTTCCGAACTAGCGGGATAGTTTGCGACCGTCTTCATTAGACCGAAGTCTGGAGTCAAATATCCCGATCACATCATGCACAACGATTTCCGGTTCGCACATGCGATCTACATGTATACAGCTCAGCGCGCTAGTACAACCACTGACCTCGAGTAAGCACGGAAAACCGCAAACTAGACTGAGATATCTTGGGATATTATCCCGACCAACTATCCAGCTAATTTGCTACTTCGGTCTAATGAAGACGCAAATTAGCTGGATAGTTTGCGATCGGGATAGTTCAAATAGCTGAATATTTGGCAATCTCGAGATAGTGCAGACACGCCTAATGGTTACAGACCTTCAGATCAAACAATCTCATTCAAAAAGTTCAATAATGCATGGCCTATTCATTGCACAAGGACTCACAGGCCCGAATTCACAAAGGAGGTTTGAGCTCAGACCAAGGTTTTCGTACGTCATATGACGCGTTTTACGCATTTTTTACAAACCTGGTTTGTAAAGAACAAAAGGAGGTTTGGCGAAACAAAAGGAGGTTTGAGCTCAAACCTTGCTTTGTGAATTCGGGCCAAAGAGCCTGTGTTTTTTCCTTCCAACTACAGGTGTATGGGACCATGTGATGAGGCTGCGTCATGTTTTCAACTACATGTATGTGGCAGCATTAACAACAAGTTATAAGAAAGAACTTTCCATTACTATTTTTGCAGGAAGCATAAACCATCCTTCTATGATCTATCCAAATGAGAACACATTTAAATTGTCAAGGGTAGACATCAACAAATTCCCACAATGTCTCAAATCATGGGTCCGTATGTTTAGCAGCAATCGGTTTTGGGAGGTGTAATCATCCAAATTGTTTGAAACTTCCTACAGAAGGAATAACAAAAGTTTACAAAAAGAAAACTGGTTCCTAGAGGTAGACAACATAAAATACTGAATAATACCAACTATACCAAGGGCTAGCCTAGGAACACATGTTTTTTTGAGCCCTATAGTTAACAGTCACTCTATAAGGCAATTTAATTCCCTACCTTAAAAGTTTTTTAAAGCAAGGAGTAATTTCTCTAATATATACTGAGAGAAATATTCATTTTCAGCAATAATAATTTCCATAGCAACGTCAGGATACAAAAAAGTAAGTCACACATTGATGATTTCTCTTGAAATACAATTGTATTCTCTGGGTAAATTTGTTGGAACCTGAATACATGTACGTGTTGCTTGGATACACAACAAAGCAACCAATTAATGGATTTGTTATACTTGAGTGAAAAACCCTGAAAACCACAATTATTTAGATTGAGGTCGACCCACATGGTCTGTTCTTACCATCACAAATAATGGTAGTAAATTTATTAAAAGATTTTTGAACAATTAATAAATTTTAAAAAGTGAAATCGGGAAACTGTACTATCAAGGCTATTGCTTGATCCAGATTGATCGTAAGTCCTCCATTCAATCATAAACTTACAAATTCCTATCTCTTCAGTACAGAGTTGCTATTGATATCAAGATGAATTTCAAGATTTGTAGTTTTGTATCAATCAAAATACTGTGAGGTTGAAAGTATGAATTTTGAGTGTAAGATGAATTATGTTGGTGGGCTTACTACTCACACAACACAATGGAATCCGCCCCCTTTCTTTGAAGCTTGGGCTGGATGAGATTTTGTTCTGCATGGGCAGGTGGTTCACGCTTGTATCTTTGTGGAGTCTTGCCTCTTGGGCATGTTTCCCTGACCCCTGGGTTGCATTATTGTAAAGCATTCCTACATGATTTTAACATTTTATGTTTTTTGCCGCCTTTTTTATCTCTGTTTTTTTCTATTCATTTTTGTTGCTGTTCTGTTCTAGTTTTATTTTTCAATCCCCATTATAATCGGTTGTTAACATTGTGATTATGTTTGATTCAATAAAATATATCAAATAATTAAAAAAAAAGGTTCAATTCAATCATAACTGTTCATATCAAAACGGGGCCAAGTAAAAGAGAATTTAGCTTCCTGTAATCCATTGATACGAAGACTCCCAAATACCGTATTATTGCTTTCTTTAACATTATGCAAGATTGTTTACAAGATTGAGACAACTTTGCTTCTATCCGGATTACTGCAATCCTGGACTACCACAGATAAACAGTACAACAGCCTACATTGAATTGAATTGAATTGAAGACCAACAGCCCATGGACCAAAGTATCATTCTTGCAGGCATTCCAAAGCGTACCGGTATACAGCACTGGTTCAATACTGGTTCAATACGCATGAGCATTCTTCTTCTTCAAGATAATCTGCCTCCTTCAATACAGATGCCATGTACAGTATACTAAGGCTGTGCATAACCGTGTAATGAGGTACTCGAGTACAGTCCCAGGCTTACAGGCGAATACTTGAACGCCATGTTTGTGTTTTTTGCCACCACCATACATAGAAATAGAAGTATCCCAGGTCCGTCTTCGAAAACTCCCGCGATTTTACTTTGATTTGCAGTTGAAGGCGCCGATTTAATAATAATAGTAAATAATGTTGTTGTTAAAACCAAAGATGATAGACTACTATCCTCAGAGTCCAAACAGAAATCCAGACAATTGGTCCCAGTTTCTGAGTGGTGAGTTGACTAGTGATTGAGCAGGGAAACCATGCCGGTGCTCTGCCTGGACAGTGCCAGGTGAGGCGCGTGAGCACAATTTTTTTTTTTTTAAATGGCGGCCGAGGACTCGTCGCAGCCTTAGTGTATACTCTGCCTGATTGGTGTGTGCAGGTGCAGCCGTGCAGGTGGACAACTACAATGTATATCGGGGTTTCCCCTACTACTATATGAATAGTGCAGTGGGTTCTTAGCATGTACACGGGCCTACATTTAAAGTCCTATCCGAGGGACGGATTGTTTTCCACTTAACATAGCCTGCGTCTATGAAACAAGGGGAGGGGCACGTTAACACAAAACGCAGGCTCGGGATACAAACCCGAGATCGACAGGCAGACGCTTTACCGACTGAGCCAACTCGCCTCTGTCTATGCTTTGGTTTGCTGGAGTGGTATACGTATAAACGTATCCGGGCTAACTCGCCCCACGGGACATCTCGCCCCGGCCTCAAAGACTGGGGCGAGATGTCCCGACATGATTCACCGATCGAGAGATACCAATGTATATGTTTGAGCTTATTGTGACTTAATAATGCCATTTACAACCACAATCTGTAATGGAATTGTGTTAAATGATACTATTGAAGACAATCTATAACTTGAACTTCTCTTTAGGTAAAATGACCAAAAAAAATGGCATTTCGGACAATTTACTCACAGCTCGCAATTCGCATTGCCGCACGTACAATAAATGTGCATTGTATCGACTCGGACCACTGAAATTCGAACAGTGTTTTTGTCATTACTCTAAATCACTGCAAAAATATCTTTTTCATAATGTATGAAGGTCTATTTTTGATTCCTGGCATAAATTTCGTTATTGAGAAGTCGAATGTACCACATTTTAGACGAGATAGCTGATGTTTGTTCAATTGTTCACATTCTTTCGTCCTGGCCGTAAACTAGCAGACTACTGCTAGTGCTACCGTTGGGACATCTCGCCCCCGTCTTTGAGGCTGGGGCGAGATGTCCCGTGGGGCGAGTTAGCCCGACTCCGTATAAACCTACTGAAGATTGTTATCAAATTTGTACAGCATTCGATCATCATCACAGCAGATTAAAAAATTTAAAGAGAATTCATCCAGATTCCAGAATATTCATGTCACCAAATCAACATTCACATTTCAATTTACAACATTTGACAGTAAAAACATCATCATTGCCTGGCCTTGAAACCAAATGCACATTTATTACACAATCAATATTACTTAGGTCCACATGCATGATCATGTTGATATACTTACTACTACCAAGGAGACTGATGGTACCTCCTTGCTACTACTTACTCTTACTGGCTAGTAGTAATAACTCCACGGTCTATTTAATTTCCACTTTAACCACAAGAAACGAGAACATGCCTAATTACCTTCCCCTTTCGCACACCAATAACTTGATCTTGGAGTATGACCATCGGTGATGCTTTTGTAGCGTGTATCAACGTGCCACAAAAAACCATGGCATCGCCATTGTCATTGGAGATGATGTTTCCAGCCATTTTAGCAACGAGGTTCGCACAATTCACAAGCCCAACAGAAACAGCTTCGGTGCACCTGCGATCGAGTCGTGTTGTATACTACCAAAATATACAAATCCTAGCTAGATAGCAGTAGCAGCGCGCGCAGCGACGTCTATCTACGGTACGGTTGTTTTACTTTGACATTCACTTTGTACATACTGGGTCGTACGTTCGGGCGTCCGTACCTTGAACGATCTGCGCGCGCGTAACCCCTAAACCATACGAGCGAGGCGAGGAATCAAAAGTTTTTTTGATCTTCTTCGATGGTGTAGGATTAATGAACATCTATCGTTTCCCTTGACCCTTTCTTAGCAACAATTTTACAAATGTTCAAGAAAATAAACATTACTGCCTTACTGGGAGAGAAGGGTCTTGAGGGGAGGTTTAGGGAGGTTACGGGGGGGGGGGGGGGGGGGGGGGGGGGAGTTCACATTGCATGTTCAGGAGGGTGTGAAGGAGGCGTGAAAGGGGTGTGTCCCAAATGGACCGATATCGTTGGCTAATTAGTATCTGGTTGGAAAAACCTTTTCGTCGATCCCCGGCAATTTGCTCATAAAGTTAATGTGGCATAATTAACAATTTTCCCCTTTTTATTTGAACATGCATCTGCTCATCCCTCTCTCTTTGTCTCACGAAGGAAATTTAGATGACTTGTAAGATTGTTTAATGGTTGCCTATTATCAGAAATAGTCAATTTTAAAGTTTTCTGTTGAACATGTAGTTAATTCGTCCCCCCCCCCCACTCCGGGGTCGGAGGGACCGCATGCGTGTTCCCAAAATTGCTGGTAAAGAGGTACTTTTCACACACAAAAATCTGGCTCGTAATACACAAAAATCCGGCCTGTATTGACTTCACATACTGGACTTAGGGTTTTTTTTCTTCAAAAGGAGGAACATGCATACGCGTACCCTAAATAACACTGAGTGGGGGGGGGGGGGGCGGGAATTCTACCAGCTAGTTGTTATTCTTTTGTGCCAGCTATGGATATACACCTCAAAGCTTCTGGACAACTTAATGAAATATGGATAAAATTGGACCCTAATAATTTTGAAATACAAATAGGAATACACTTGTATTGTATAACTGCCTTTTTATTTAAATTTTACCTTTGCTCCATATTACCCTAAATTGAATCAATTTGTGTATTTTAATACCGAAGGTATCATGCAAACTTGTACCATTTTGTCGAATAACATCTGTAGATCAGGAACTTTTAAGCAATCACAACCTTATCTTGTTTCCAAAAAGAAATAGCAGTAAAAAATAAAAGCAAATATCATAGTATTGCAGTCATATTCCAGAGGTAATTTGAATAGAAAGCAAGATTTAATCGTAGAACACTTGGGCCTGTATAATTCAAGTTAAACACAACACAAGAAATATTAATCCTCATTACTGTCAATTATGACTTAAGGACGTAGGTCCCTTAGCTGATTAGTATAGTAGCACACATATGATTTAGCAGTCAAGCAAAACATACACTCGCAAATTAATATTCAATAAAATCTGAGAATGTATGCCATTATCTAGATCTATTAGAAATAAATAATTTTTTAAAATCCTTCCCTAAACTGGGGTAAAAATAAATATTCCACCATTATGACCAACAGTGTACAATAGAGAGAGAGGGAATGAGAGAATATGGTAAAGTTCAATTCCACTCCAAAAATAATTTGCTTTTAATAGATGCAGAAAAACAAGAGAAACAGAGCAAACAAAATTATAATAAAATCGGATAACTGATAGAGATAGGCAGATAAGAGCAACCAAGATAGTCTGGATCTACAGAGAGACATCAATCGCCCGGTTGCTTGGGAACAACGCTGGCAAATGAAATTCAACAAAACAAAATGTTATGCAATGCATTTTACTCACAAAAAGAAGTTAATCGAAACACAGTATCGAATGGGGGATTCCGTCTTGGAAGTCATACTCAAGCACGCATATTTGGGGGTAGAACTTGACAGTAAACTCAGCTGTGCAAATCACATCCAAAACGTTACATCAAGGGCAAATCGGATGCTTGGATTACTTCGGAGAAACCTCTTTAGCTGCTCTCCCAAAGTAAAAGCAGTGTATAAAACTCTCGTCAGGCCCGACTTGAGTACTGTGCCTCAGTATGGGAACCCTTATCAGAAGCAGGGGCGTCTCCAAAGGGGGGTGTGGGGGTGCGACACCCCCCCCCCCCATCTGTCAGGATATTGTCGGTAAAATTGCGCTGCCGTCGGGAAAAAAAGAAAAGGGGGGAAGAGAGGAAAGGGAAAGGAAAGAAAAAAAGAAAAGGAAAGGAAAAGAAAGAAAGAAAAAAAGGAAAGAAAGGAAAAGAAAGGAAAGAAAAGAGAAGAAAGAAAGAGAAAAAAGAAAAAGAGGGAGGAGAGGAAAGAAAGGAAAAGAAAGAAAAGTATAAAAACAAAAAAGAGAGAAGGGAAACAAAAGAAACGCGGGATGAAAGAGAGGAGAGAGAGGGGAGGTAAGAGCCTGAGATAGGAGGAGTGGGAGTAAAAGAGAGAGGGGGGTTGTTGGGTGGAGTCGTCTCGTCGAGGGAGCAAGAAAGACACGGGTAAATATATTGCTGTGTCGGGTCAGCTGTGTCGGTATTCTTGCTCGATCCTCGTGTATATCAATGCAGAAGTTTGAAGTCGGTGAGATGTATATTGTCGGTCGGCCGACAAGTTTTTTTCCCTACGAACTGTGACTTTTTATCCGCTGTGACGACTTCGAGAGTGACTACAACTACAATACTCGAAGTTTCACTTTCCTTTAAATGACATCCTCTTCCACATTTTGCCATCAAATTTATGGCGAATTTGGGGCTCCCAACACTTTAGAGGGGCTTTAACCGAGTGTTGGAGTTAAGTTTTAGAACAATATTTGCAAAGTTTTAATGGTAATTTAAATTAATATAATTTGTTATGCAAATTCCGTTTCTTTTACTTATCAGCTATTTTCTTCTAAACCGCTTAGAGGCAATTTGCAATTTGCGGTGTACAAATATCTTATTATTATTATTATTAATATGGACCTTTATATTTTTTTATTTTTAATCATTGTTTATGCTAATCATTATCAGAAACACAAAACTTTCACAAATCACATCATATTCTTTTTATATAAGATATCTAAAGTCAAGAAAAATACAAATGACAAAATGTAGTACTCATATTTATAGTGTTCCTTTTTATTAGTTCACATTAAAATAGGGGAAATGAGGTTGGGAGGTATCCTTTCTATTTCCTTTTTTGTACAAAAAACATACAATAATATTCATCATCATCATCATCAACATCATCATCATCATCATCATCATTAACATCATCGATAACATCATCATCATCATTAACATGACGCGTATATCAAAATACTGTCCCCATTATATATATTGAGATTTTGGTAGATATGTGTGAGGTAATATATAGCCAGGCGAATGATAGGCTGTGAATGGCCCATTGTAATACAGTCAAATACATAGGTGCAGTCAGTCTAAGCTGTTTAAAGGTAAGTCCGCCCTGGTATTAAGTTGGTTTTAATAAAAGCACAAAAATGAGAGGAACAGGTCAGTTAAAAAAAAAAAATTATGAATTTTTCAAGTTGCGATCAATCAAACACAAATTGGCAACTCTGTGACCTATCTTGCGACGTACCCTCTAGTTTGCCCTGTACTAAAATACTTCAAAAATCTATATTTTCCCTTTTAAAAATTGTCAATCATACAATCACCTTAAATATTATTATTGCAAAAATGTTTTTATACAACCTCTGTATGAAACAAACCTGTTCCGTCATCAATAACTAAGAAAATGAAAGTTTATGACATTTTCTGTACAGAGCAAACTGGAGAGGAGCAATAAACAATAGTGCGAATTTGATTTTGATTGGTCACAATTTTCAACAATTCATAAATTTCTTATTTTTAATCAGAATTTGCTCAAACTTTCAGTAACTTATTTCTCTCATTTTTCTGCTTCTATTTAAACCCAACTTAATATCAGTGACTTTCCCTTTAAAGTGATATTGGGTATATGCGAGTGTGGAGCTCATCAAAAGCATTAGGGTCAGCATATTGACAAATGAAGCAAGATTTGTATAATGCTGTGCATAATTAAAACACAATGATGTAAATCATGACTACTCTCAACATTTGGAAACTTACAACTTTGAATGTACTTTTAGATAAAACCACTAAACCATCATAGGTTGGGGGTTCAACATAGTTTACGCTAATCAATTTTGTTCTCAAGCATGCATGAATTCCGGTTAAATGGAAATGACATTGTATCACTGTGTTTCGTGCAGTGACTCTTTATTGGCTGTGGAGTGCGTGTGTGCTGGGCAATTTGCATCCACTTTTTCTAGGCCACATAATTTAAATGACCATCCATGCTTAGTATCAAACTCAACCAAGTGAATGTGAAACAAATAGTGCCATCTATGTCTCATCTCAACAACTACATGGGTTTTACATCCCTGGGATATTGATTGATGGCAATGAAGTCTACCTGCTGATAGATCACGAACAAAAAGCAGGAATACATGACAAATACAGATTTTAGCCATTTTTAAGGAACCTGAATTTGTCAAAGAGTTCAAGGATGCATCTCTTATTTTGGTTTTTATCATGGAATATCCTGTGTCCAAAATACATCTCTAATTTTTGGATGTTGCGGATCTTGGAACAAAAGTACTCCTCATTTTGCATCTGTGAAATATGAACAAAGAGCGTTGAAAAAGCACTGATTTTCCATTGAATTCAGAACAGAACAGTTAACATATTGAATGATGAGTGAACACCTCGGGTTTGAGCACATTTCACAGCTCAGCAATCAGTCATTTTACTTCCTCAATCTATCCCACTTAGATTTAATCATTGGCGAAACTTCTCATATTAAAGGAAATGAACACTGTTGAATCTCACACATTTCTTATCCCATTTATAGGTCAAAGACCATCATAATCATCCCACCCTCCATGTGGACCGTCATATTAGATGTAAAATGAAAATAATACAGCAACCCTGAAATGACCTACTCTCAGAAGGGACTAAAACATCATCCTTGGAACAAGCAAAAAAACACCTCTAGAATACACATGACAAACAAAAACCAAATGAAAATATATATAATCTATATACAAAATATATGAAAAGCATGTTTTCGTATAAACTTCAAAATCCTGTCTTACAGAAATATCCCTGATTTTCAATCTGAGAAAAAGTTTTCCAATAAAATGGGCATGCATCCTTTTTTACATGCTTTTGTTCATGAGGCAAACACAGTCACGAAAACACACAAAATAATTATCTGGTATGTAAACAGCACAGGACACTAAGTGTTCAAATGATAAAGGTTTCTCATAACACTAAAGGCTTCTATCATTACAATTACAAGTAGGAGTTCCTCCTTTATCTCATAAAAACATCATCATATTGCAGTGATTTAAAAAAAGGACTTGTTGTATGTGATGTTTAACTTGAATTTCATTCTTTAAAAAAAAAAAATCGTCTTTAAACAAAAAATAATGAACATGTCCCTAAAACATTTTTGTATTCAATTACTGAAAAAGATTAATTCATGCAGCATACATTCAATAAAAATTGACAATATCTTGACTTAAAGAGACCAAATAAATCAAATTTGTACAGCATCATATCAGCCCCTACCATTTATGCACTTTCACAATAAAAATACCATCAACTAAACAAATTTAAACAAAGTTTTCTTTTACACCATTAGATACTTATCCCATTCAGCAATATTCTTACATGGACTCATTACAGTTAATGACATGATTAGTTGCAGCACTATAGACCACCAAAGTGGGGTTCAATCACATTGAAAAAATACATGCAGCATATCTATTTATAAAAATAAATAAAGGGAGAAAAAAATAAAAAATCATGGATACTTTTCCATGAAATTCTCTTTTACATAACAACGAATGCTTTTTACAATTATTCATAATCTAAGCATGGGAAAGTAAAAAGAGATGAATCGTGGTAAGAATAACTAAAAAGTACTAAAAACGATGGACTCTCCTAAACAGATCACTTCCACTAATTTACACAATTTAAAGGAGAAAACTACAAAAAGCAAAAGAGCAAATCATTGGCGAGGCAATCATTTGACCAAAGAAAATATGGTCTAGTTAATATTTTGTGTTAATGGCACAATACAATTCATGATTTAAAGCACATGCTGAGACGATTCTACGAGTAGGTCTATACCATACTACCATTGATGCAGCATATATATATATATATATATATACACTAACACTTTAATTTATCTTTGACCAGAACCATGATTAGAAACCTACATTACACGCTGGCAAATATCAAACCATGCTGAAATTCTGTATGTATTTAAGGACAAATTTCACGAACTTCTGGGAGAATGTTATTCATACCAATAACAATTCCACTCCATTTGTCCTTTGTTTTACACTTAAATTTTTTTTTTAAATTAAAACTATTCACAGCATAATAATGATTTTTATTTACTTCCTATTGAGAAAGTATAATAACATGATTTTATAGGGTCTAGTTTGAAGTACATATTCCAAAGATGAACCATTATGGTACCAGATTAGAATTGAATCCCTCGGATGTTCTTGAGAAATTGCAATAAAAAGACGATGGGACAGATGTAGATGACACCAAAATAAACTATGACAACACATAATTTAGCATAACATGTTAAGCATTTCTCCATTTCTATCTACTACGACTACTTGCAAAACAAAATTAGACGAATGTGTCGAGTTTTATGAATCTATTCCGAGTTGGCTGAAAATAACATGTACCGGTAATGAGATGCTTTTCCAAAGTCAGAGGGGAAGATTTGTTTACAATATCACTACATATTAGCAATTTTGTAACAATATGTTTTCGGTCTCTAAAAGTATTTCACCAATAACTTTTTTTGTTATCAGTACCTCACCATCAAGCTATTCCATTTCCCCAAGGTGGTAATGTAGAAATTCTAATCACTGTGAAATGGCCATGTCATTACAATGACCATATTCATTCCCCGCTCACATTACCATAACGGCTATTTACAATTTGTGCAATGTGAAATATATGAGCCAATATTTCCTAATCTATTATCCATCATTCTATTAATCTCTCTCTCACTCACTCACAGACACACACACACACACTCTTTCTCTCTCTTGAATGAACATCTAGCATGTCAACAACTGCACCATTAAACCTATGAATATATGCCTACCGGTACTCAATACAGTTTGCAAAAGATAAAAAGTGAGAGAAAAAAAACTACCCTATAGCCAAACATACATGTATAAAGATGAATAAATAGCAGTTTATATTTGCAACACACATAATAGGTTGCTCTTTTTTGTTTCCTGAATCTGTTGCAAGTCTTATATATACTTATATGTGTGCATGTATATATACATATATATATATATACTTGGCCACATTTCACAAAGTGAACACTTTCCCTTTTTTTCTCTTTGCCCCCCCCCCCCCCCCCAACAACATAAGAGGTAGATCATTGAAAATTACATTTTAGCCTTCAAAAACTGCCAACAAATAAAAGAAAGTAAAGAAAAAACCTGATGCCTGAGCTGACTTTACAATTACATTGATCAATTTACTGTATATTACCATATAACTACAAAGGTGTCGATTGCAGCAATAATTCTAATTTTTATTTTTTCAACATATGGCAACATTCTTGCATGTATTTTTAAAAATTATTCTATCAAACCCTACCAAAATATGATACCGGTAATCATTTAAAGGTGTTAATTGCAGCAATAATTTTAATTGGATTTTTCAGCATATGGTTATTCTATCAAACCTACCAAAATATGATAATAATTTAAAGGTGTCAATTGCAGCAATAATTCTAATTTGATTTTTCAACATATGGCCACAATCATGCATGTATTTTTCATTATTCTATTCAACCTACCAAAATATAATAATCAATTTACTGTATATGACCATATACCTACAAAGGTGTCAATAGCAGCGATAATTCTAATATTAATATTCAACGTACGGCCACATTCACGCATGCATTCACAATCATTATATTCAAACTACCAAAACATAATAATCAAAACTACTTTAAATTAGAAATTTACTTTCAAGATGTATTATTTTGAAATTCCACAAGATAATAGAAAGTGCAATTTCTACCAAATGTATCCCTAACACCCACCATCACTACAGGGGGGGGGGGGGGTGTCAATTGTACAGGAGTATAAATTGAATTCATACTCCTGTACTAGGATTGACAAAGTAATGATAAGCAATCTTGAGCATATTATTAACTGCAATATTTACCATTGATATTTAGTAACAGTGCACGTGAATCTATAGTCCATGAATCTTCAATTCTTGACATGAAAAAAAAAATAACACCAACAAACATACTGGAGAGATAGAAACAACTCCACCAAAAATCACCTTCAAAGCCCTAAATATATACATTATTCCACAAAAATCATGGGCACGCTCCTTTCATCAATTTACACAATTATTGAACCATTGAATTCATGGCGAACATTCAACAAACTACAAGCTTTGTAAGAGTCCCATTTATTGTTTGAAATGAGGATTTCTTTCACCCATTTTATCGTTTCTTTTATCTACAGTTTGAGGTAGTTTTTTTACTCCATAAAACATCCCAAAAGATAACAAGAAAATATTGTGGTCTTCCAATGGCCACCATCATCTATCAATTGAGATACAGTTTTATCATTACATCACATTTGCATCAATACATAAGTAAGTGGGACCATAGGCCTTCTATGATTGGTGCGTTTCTTTCACTCATTTAGTTTGTTTTAATTTTGACAGATAGAGGAGGGGGAGGGGAGGGGGAGGGGAGGGAGGGGAGGAGGGGGAGGGTTGGAGCGAACATGTTCGATTAATGTTTTTTCAATCTCTCTCTCTAAGTTTGAAGCACAAGGGGGGCGGGGTGTTATTAGGCAATCGCTATCTTTTTAATATTCTGGAGTGAATTTCAAGGATTCAAATGTACAGTAACACCACATTAAGAACTTTTCTATAAAAACAGGTTTCCCTCATTTTTTTCTTGATTTCTTTTTATCTTTTACCCATCATAGAATGATTAATCAATCGACAAGCACTGTCTGAAAAGTCGCAAGTCATTTTTTTATTTCAATGATGGCTGTTTTTCTCCAGAGTCTGGTTTGAGAAAGATTTCTAGAAACCCTCGTTGCTGTTTTCATTACCCAAAGACTCCTGAATGAATACAAAGATAAGAATAAAACTCGAAAAACAAATCCTGATGTAGTAGAAAGGCAAAGTCATTTGGTGGATATCTGTCTGTTTTCTTATAGAGGTAGAACTTGTCTATATTTGATGTATCTAATCTAAATCTCCAAACAATAATTTTTTTTAAGTTCTCATTTTTCTGTGATATGACAAGTAGGAATAGGTAAATGTGTATAGAATATTCGCTGACGTCCTAGAGAGCATTAGAATTGGAAAATTAAAAGTTTGAAAATCATTTTTTGTTTACAATGATAGTTGTTTTACTCAGAGAATAGGATGACACTGGTTTGAGACGGAAGATTTCCAGAAACCCTTGTTGCTGTTTTCTTTGCCCAAAGACTGCCGAATGAATACAAAGATGAGAATGAAACTCAAAAACAAATCCTGATGTAGTAGAAAGGCAATGTCATTTGGTGGTAATCTTTCTCTTTTATAATAGAGGTAGAAAGTGTCTACATTTGATGCTTCTAATCAAAAACTCCAAACTGTAATAAACATTTTTTTTCTCTCTATTTTGTGTTATATGACAAGTAGGAAGAGGTAAATTTGTATAGAACATTAGCTGACAGCCTAGAAAGCATTAGGATTGGGAAACCAATCAAAGCAAGGTAGATCCTTAACAATGCCATTGGCATGTGAATATAACAAATGACATGATGAGTTAAAAACAAGAATCTTCTCCCAAAACAGGTAGATAAGCATAACTGCCAACACTTGTAATAGAAGTGTACATAATGTCATGCAAATAATGGTTGTATGAATATCCAACCAGGACCAAATGAGTGCATGATTGCGCAACGTATTCTGTGTATATTATTCAATGCACTGTGTAAGCTCCTTGGTATGTACCACTGAACTTAAACACTCTGGATAGCAAGCGCAACAAGGCAATCTTCCCATGCAAGATAGACTGTGTGTACATGCATCCCACCGATTTCATTTTTTTTTTAAGTTTGGCATTGCGCCATGTATTATGTCTGTATTCATAGCATACAGGCATATTTGCGCTCATTTTCATATTTCTTGAAGGTGCATTCATAATTTTGTACAGAGGGTCTGAAATTCTTATTTATGATGAAGTTTAGTAATAGTTGGCAGCTATGGATAAGGTTAAGCTTCTTTGAGGTCCTGAAGCCAATATTCCCAAATTGCATCATTTACACTCTTCTAATGGACTTCCACTACAGATATAAACGCTATCCTTGAAACTAAAACAATAATTTCAGGAAATACCCAATATATTTTGTAGAAATAAGAGAGGTAATATTTGCTTGATTAGTTGCTCCAATCAAGAAATAAATGCTGGATGGAAAGTTCATATGTTCATTCATTTTGTTCTTCTTCACTGTCTTCAAATATTATATTAACTGTTATCAATAGATCTTTTTTAAGATACATGTAAATGTATGAAGAAGGGGGATTTCATTCATTATTCGTCTTTCTCCAATAGCTGGTTTTATCCCTCACATTTCAAAGCAAACGCACGACGAATTTTCTCACTCCAAGGAAAGGACAATCATGTTGAGGTTGAAGAATTAAAGCTCCCAGCATGTTTGAATACAACAAATAACATGATCATGAGATAAGGTGTTGGGCTGTGTCCATGCACGTACCTACCTTCCTATGGAAGCATTGTGGCTTTTGAGTAGTCCATTGAGGTCAGTTTGAGGTAATATACTACGATAACATTTTCTACTCACTCACTCTCTTTAAAATCTTCTATATCTCACTCTTTCTTTCAATCTCTTCTTTTTCAAAGGAGCTCGATCGATCCTCTTTGAACGAATCAAAATTAAAGTTGACACAGATCCGCTGCCACGAACTGAAGGTGACTCCTCATCACCACGGCTCCTTCGCATGTTTGAATCCTAAGGAAAGCACACCACTACTCCTTAATATCACGGTAAACCACACATCAGATGTTTGATCGTTAGACGTTCGCGTGTCCACCTCAGATGAACACACAGGTAGAGTTGCCAGCAGAGTGTGTAAACAATTACCAAACACTTAGAAAAGATAACATTTACTCTACGCCCTGATAAAAAAAGAAATCCAAGTTTTTTTCCCTGCAAGTTCTAAATCTTGACTTTACGCATAGGTGACATCCCCACTACAGAGGTAGAGTGCCTTGGAGTTGAAGTCTGGATTAGTCCCTTCTTGATCACTGTGAAAACTTGTTTTCCTGCTGAGGTAGGTACTGGGATCAACTGCATGCCCAGTGTTTGAACCGGCATCGTCAGGATCGTCACCGATCTCCCAGTCTATGTCACCGTCCATTCCGCTATCGCTGTTGGTGCCCCGGTACGAGGCTGGGCGCGGCGGTGAATCTGTGCCCGAGCCATCCGGGAGGTTTTGTTCTTGTAGCAGTGCTACGTGCGACTCGTCTATCACTGAGGTAGATGCAAGGTCTGGATGGACCAAACACTGGTGGGTGGATGTTTCTGCAACCTTTGCGACGATGTCTTGCTGGCTGCTCCCACTACTCGTTGTCGCTTCAGGGCAGAAAGTTAGGGGTTGAGAGGAGCATTGAGAAGGGGATTCCTGATGGCTTGTGCTGGCCAGATGAGGTAGACTGGACTCCTGATGCTGTTGCTGTGTATGAGGTGGTATCTTACTGGTGGTGGTGCTGTTATTAACGGTGAGTGTGGTTCCATTGAGGTAGCCAAAGTGAGGCTTGGTGAGACTGAGGTCATGCAGTAACGGTTCTCTACTTTTCGGGTCCTGTCGCAAAATAACATTTTGAAAAGATTAAAGTCATTGGATTCAGGGTACATTAAAAAATAGATACAAGAGATTTAAATGACCAATTTGATATTCACAATTTTAAAATAGCAAGAATAATGAAAACCCTGGACATTGCTATTTATAAGCTATCACAAAAACGAAATGGATCTTATATTGTATTGCCCAATAATGGAAAAAACATAAGGAACATGTAAATCTTACTTCTTGATCGTTGCAGAGCTGATGCTGCAAGACTGCTGATTGTGGGAGTGGACTATAAAGCTGTGTTTCTACTGTTTTTGTTTCTCCTAACTCTATGCCTGGCATCGGTCTCTCTTCTTGTTTGGTTACGCAGAACTTGTGGTGACAGGTGCAATCTCTCCTTCAGGGCAAAAAAAAAGCATCTTCAATTAACACATATGACGCTGGCTGGCTGGGTATCATGTAGCAAATGCATCCTATGACACAACACACATTACTACTTCAATCATCTCCTTATCAACATTTTCTATAATCCTGCACGTCTCTGTCCCATTACCCATTCATATAGTTTGTCATCTCAAAAAAAAACCACATAAAATAAATTCACCCTATGATACAGACAAACAACCATGTATGCATCATCTGCCCACCATGGTATAAGGTAACATTATGATCCTTGCATGTACTATTTTTATTGGCCTTTCTAACAGGTGACTTGTCTACAGATAGCGCCATTTTTTGACAACTCAAAGTCTCCAAGTACAGTCTCTTAACTTGACACTTAAAGATAAACATTTTCGAAAAGACTACAGCCCTGGTTCAAAGGCCCATGTAAATGACGGTCAGCATTCCAGGGCCTCGTAACATAAAACTCAACTCGCTATCATTTGTACAAAGATCACTCTGTATCTCCATTCTTGCTACGATTGATTTTATCTTTCTTGGAACATGAAACTGATTGTAATAATTATCGATTCTAAAAATATGATTGATTGATTGATTGAGGAAAATAAATCAAATTAAACTCATTTGAAGATACACGGCCCACACGAAACTTACAACCACGCACGACACACTTCCAATGCAGGAATGTCCATTCCTCATACAGTTTTTTTTCCATATTAGGACATATAGTTTATTTACAAGTAGGCATTTTCTGGTCATTTTGGTATTATTGGAGTTTCATTCTTTTTGAGAATATTTTTCTCTTCAAGTATGTTTTAACCTTAGTTTTCTATTGACTTTGTGATCAAAATAACATTTAAGGGCAGTTGTTTGACGTGCAGTATGTTTTTTTTAATTTGTTTTAATTTAAATTATTAAAATTATTATTTAAAAAAACGTATTTTGTGAAGAAAAAAACGTAATTTGGATGAAAAAACTGAATAATTCCAGCTCTGAATGACTGATGAAAGTCCATCAATGCAAACTATAGTGTAGACCTACCTGTGTCTGAAGAGAAGCAGTAGTGTACAGATCATGATACAGAGCGTCGCAAGCACAATCCCAACCACAATTCCTTTCTCCAAATCATTCACCAGCTCTGGGTATGGGGTTTTATCTGCAAGAGATGAAAATTAGTTGGAAACTATATTAACAGTGTCCTGAAAAGCAAATGAAATTATGAATTTAAAATCAGATCTGCTTCATAATGAGCCAAACTGGTACCAAAAAGTTTAAGTAAAAAACAGGATTACGAAGAACATCTTCTAAAACTTGCATCATAAGCTTCTTGCACATCATACATTCAGTACAAAATTCTAACAATCTCCTACTAGAGTTCAGGGAAAACGAGGTTAAGCTGTTGTTACATGACATTTCCTAAACCAAACAAACCTCATGGAGATTAGTTGGCAAAGAGCCCATTTTCGGTGTTAAGCCATAACAAGTCTCCAAGCTTAAAGAGCAATCCAAACCCTTGTTAAGTGTTCATTTGTATGAAAGCAACAAAAAGAAGAGAAACAGAATGGCGAAAGTTTGAAAAAATCAGACAAAAAAGAAGAAAGTTAAGAAAGTTTCATACATGAGATCACCAAGTCTATGCAAATCTCAAATTGGCAGTTTGGTCAGTGGAATGTGACGAGATCACGGACAACTCTCCCGTTTCTCGTGTACCAAAATATCATTCAAAAAAAAATAGCCTCACTGCAAATTATAATTACATAAAGATACATTTCTATATCTTAAAATACACACAATTAAGCGAGTGCGCATAGAGGCATTTGTCACTTTTTTCACACCACTTGCCACCGATGTACACGTGAGATGATTTATATATGAACAGGGCTTTAACACTTACTTGGGGGCTCCTGAACCCTTACAATGTAGGTGACTCTTGATGATCTTGGACCCTTTCCTACGCTGGTAAATGCCTCTACCGTGAAAGCATAGTGATGTCCAGACTTAAGATTGTGGAATACTGCTTGCAGAGTAGTACCTAAAACAAAGCAATTAAATAAGAAATAACCATAGCAATATCACATTCCACCAGGTAAAACTCACATTTGTAACTTTATACATAGCACTCAGGAGAGATAGCACGATGATTTAAGAAACTAGCTCCTAAAATCAGAGTATATTGAACCTTTGATCTTATAGAAAGCACTCAGGAGAAGGCATGATTTGGTAACAAAATGTTTGCAAAAATGGAGTCATATCTCAACGTTAGAAAAAATGAAGGCATGATTTTGTGTGGGAAATGGCCCAGTATTTCAAGTCTTTCCAACGATACAGAAGTCAGAGTCTTTCAGAATATCTGTTAGGCCTATTTTGTTAACAGATCCTCATAAGATGAACAACAATTTGCACTGCCACCAAACGCTCCAGACGTTGTTTAGTCCAACTCTCATATAGGGTTGGGTAGCGATTAGGTTTGAGGTTCATCTTACAGCTAAGGGTAGGATTAGATTCAGTATAGTTTAGAATTTGATAAATGTAAGAATATTTGTTGACACCCCCCCCCCCCCTCCCCCCCTCCCCTCTCTATTTCAAAATGTAAAACAAGGTACAGGTGCACATGGACTGCTAAAAAAATGTCTGTGTATTACCCTGCCACACCTACCATTGGTTACTATGGTAGCATTATCTCGATGCGGATGGGATGCATTCAGGGCCTGGCAGGTGACGTGGTATGTAGTGATGATACCGTTAGGATACCTAGGTGGTTGCCATTCTACCAGCACAGCTCCAGGCGATTCATCGGGTGTGATCAGACTCACATCAGTAGGTGCAGACGGGACTGAATAGAATGAATGAATGAAGATTGTAATCAGCTGTCTTGCTTCCGAAAAGGATGTCATTTTAATTCATTGCGTTACATCTTGAGGTACAACATGCTTTCATATCTTGCCAATATGTATTTCATTTGTATTTTCAGAGAACCAAGTCGAAGAATATAACTTTTAACGCACGGACTGCATAGAGAATATTAATTTCATAAGAACTCCACAAAGTGTTCTCCATTTTATGTAAGATCAAACTTGAATACAAGAATTTTAACGACATATAGCTTATTCCTAGGACAATTTCAAATCCCAAGGACAAAGATAAAAGTATAGTTTAAATGTTGGTGTTTTCTATTACTGCTTTTGATTGTTATAGCCTTTCTTTCAACCATATGTGTGGTTAATTCAGCAAAGCAAATGGTAGGCACATTAATGTGAGAGTATCTACATAGTGTGGAACCTCCTTTAGAATTGATGTGTAATGTAAAATTTATAGTTTCCACTATCCATTGTCACTTGTTATACACAAGCCCTCTGTAATAAACTCTCCAAATCACTGAAAATTAATAAGAGTAAGAATATTTTGTTTTCATGAATTTATCGCCTTTACATTGAAACACCACAGAAACCGACTTACTATCTTCCCTTGTTTTCCTCCAAATAGGAGAAGTGTAGTCGCTGTCCATACCGTTCCCATGAGCTTTCACAGTAATCCTGTACTCCGTGAATGCCTCCAAATTCGTCAACTCTATCGAGCATGTTGGGCTATGGAAGTAGAAAATGGGGAAAATTAGGAACGTTAGTACCAGTATCAGATCACATTTGAAAATTAATAACAATTTTCCTTCTTCAACTATGGAACAATGTTCTAGTCATGAACCCTATCTAGCCCGGGGGGGGGGGGGGGGGGGGGGGGGGGGGGGGGGGCTTTAGAATTTTTCGCGATAATTTTTCAACGCAAAAAATCTTGCACTGAAATTTTGTAACTTTTTTCTTCGAGTCTCGCGCATCTTTTGAAAGAATTTTTTCGAAAATCGAAGACCTACCATTACAAAGTCACGTGTCCTTTTGTCTTTGCATGTCATCCCGAAAATCGCTCATTTTTGTGATTTGTGTACAAAACATATGGAAATCTCATTTTTCAAATAAAGAGATAAAACATTGGTTATTTGGTCTTGTTTATAGTTTAGGTATTCATTTTGGGGTCAAATTAGTTGAATTATAGTTGGAAATAAAATAAAACAACAAAAACAATAAAATACATAAGTTTAAAAAACAGAGAAATACATAAGAAATTATCAAAACAATAGATAACATAAGGACTAACCCTGGTTTTTCAATTTTTTGTGTTGTATTATTATTCCAAATGGTCTAACAAATATAAGTAGTGAGAAATAATGCTTAAATATGAATAATGTCTGAATTATGGGCAAAAATGTGAATTTTATGACCTTATTTGCATAAATTACCATAAATATGCAAATGAGTGAATTTTTCAAAAAATTGAAATTACTATAGTATTCTATACACTTCGCTTGACATGCATGCAAATTTTTGCGGCGATCGGGCGTTTCATGACCGAGATCATAGGGGGGGGGGCCTTAGAAGCCCCCCCCCCCCCCCCCACATTTGGTCTGTTTGGAACCAGAAGGGTGTGAACTCTGTATTATAGTATATGAGTTACAGCCTTCTGGCTCCAAGCAGACGATTCAAAAGAAGTCTAAATACCAGGAAGGTCCAATCCAGGACACATTACAGGCTCTTTTACTGATCAATTTCTATTTTGGATTTTTTTTTTTCCCCTTCTTTTTTTCCCTTCAATATTCTCTCGATCTCGATTTCCTCGTCATCTCTTGCTTTGGTCTTGCTACCTCTAGCCAGCCTGGCTTCACTCGTTGAATATTATATCGTTTTTCTTAAGATAAGGTTGAGTTCTGGTCATGCGATTGCAGTGTAAAGAAACAGTGTGGAAATGATCAGAAAAGGTTGATCATCTAGCATATAAGTATTGGTGTATACTGCGAGGTTCTGGAATCATCAAAATGATAAGAAATTGGCCCAGTCACTGTACACAAAAAGATGTATATGGGACTACACAGACGTGTGGCATAAAAATCCATCCTGATTTTTATGCTTTTACATGCCATATTTATAATATTGAGGCATTTGAAGAGCCATGCTTTTCAGGGAATATTTTTAATCTGATGTTCTTCTAAACTTGCATAATAACAATGATAACGCTCACAAAATATTTTTTCACCTCTTCCCAGAACTCAACCTTCTATTTAAGTGTATATCTTTTGGTTCAATTTCATTGTAAATCAACCATAATGAGTTTCTGAACTTTACGGGTTGATGTTTTTAAACCTAAGAAATAATAAATAAATAAATACTAACCTGAATGTCTCTGCTGTCTTAGCATGGGAGTTCTTGGTTGGCTCAGCAAGAATTGAGTAGTAGGAGATAGTGATGGATGTTTGTGGAGGCTCCCATTGTACATTGATGGCCTTGGGTGACACAGATTGGGCTCGGACATTATACGGTCGGAGCAAGATGAATTGCCGGCTTGAAGCTGCTCAGACAAGGAGGGACGGGAGAGAAAAAACAGATTCAAATATTTAATGTTAGGATGAGTTGGGACAGTCCAACTTGCTAATACAGTCAAACCTGCTTTAGTAACCACCTGTCTACAAGGACCACATTTTTTGTTTCCTTGAAAATGGTTTCTCATTGAAACATGTACTCAAGGAACCTGTCTACAAAGACCACTTTTTGTGTTTCCCTTGGGCGGTTGCTGTAGACAGGTTTGACTGTATTAGAATTTGACCCAAGATACAGAGAAATGACCTGGGCATTAATCTTGTTTAAATGAAATAGTTTTGGTGTGTAACACCATTTAATGCAACTAAATATTTGTTCAATCAGATTAACACTTTCTTACCTTGAAATGTATACTTCACTCAATGATTCTTGGCAATTTAAAATGTCTAAATGAGCAGAGTATAAAATAAAAGCAGAAGAATTACAAAATTATGTTACAGAGCCTCTAATTTCTTTCTCTTGTATCTGGGAAGAGTGTTTTGATTATGACCTCCCTTCATATTTTTATTGGTTTGAGTCAACTCCAAGTCACTTCTTTTGTAATCACTTTTTAAATTATTATGAGACTGAGTAGCACAAAATTTTAACACGCTTTTAGACCTACACAAGCAGTTGTACTGTACAGTAACATTCTGCAATAATATGAAATATCTGATATAGATGGGAGAAAATGAACTAGGACGATACTCTCCGACTTTTCAAACTTAAAAAACACATATGACAACTAAAAACCTGGAAAGGTCACTTACGATCAATACGTGGCATCTGAAATGCAATAGAGGTCACATGACCATCTCCACACTCGTTCCATCCTTGCATCACAAGATTGTATGCTGTCTGTCGTTCTGTACAATGGGGAAAACAAGAATGTGTGCATTTTGACAAATGAATCCAATTGTGACACTAATGAAAAGAAAGCCATGTGCGATATTTTGGTAAGCTCCCAATTTTCTCAATTACTTTGAGTGAATGATTAAAACAAACAAAAATGTACACATGGATAGCTATGAGTGATAATGTATTTACTTGCTTTTGTGTTGCACATTTGATATTCATGATTGACGCATCTGTTCATTTTTAATTTGTGTATATGGGGAGAACCACAGGAGCACTTCTTCAATGAACGCTCTTCACTCCTCTTCCCCCTCCCTTCCCCTCCCACTCCCCCTCCCTACCCCTCCCACCCCCTCCCTACCCCTATTACAACAGTACTGACTAACAAGGAGAGAAGGATATATCCTCCAGAAATTACTTGCATGTCTCGGGAGGGACAGCTAGAAAATGAATGCTCACTCACCTAGCCCTCCAAGGATGACCGTCCTGGCGTCCCTGAGGAACATCCTCATCTGCTGCGACCCATCGTTGTAAGAGGTCAGGGTCATCTTGAAACCATGGATGTTTGACCCTTCACCCCCTAAGGTATCCTTGGACGCCGAGACTGACCACTTGATCTCTACAGCAGTGGCATTGATGACCTGATGGACGATGAGCAGCGATGTAGCAACTGCAAGATAAGACGAGTATCGTTTTAGATTTTGGTTGGGAAATTGGCAATTGAAGAGGGAAGGCTCATTCTTTGAATAGAAGTAATGCTAAATCATACCAACTTAGCACTTGGCTTTGGGGATCTTCACCTGTTTCTAATCTTTAGAATCATAAAATTATGTGTACCACTTCCTTCCAAGTTACAATATCTACGTAATTTTGTTATTCTCAACAAGTTATTACACTAACGATACTTAAGACCATCAAAATATATTTCTCAACTATATTTTCAAATTGAGACGAACAGTGAGTGAGATTTCACAGACTAACCAATATCCCATATGCAGGTTATCCTCCAAACGCATTTGATAAATCGTTACATTCCGTATAGACCTTTCCACTCTAAAACTCAGGAATGCTTGTTCTTCCCTAAGCTCAATATTAAGTGGGGGGGGGGGATGAAGAACCTTTGCTCGTGCATGGTCTTAGCTGTGGAATACGCTCCCTCAAGAGATTTGTAACAGCAGATCAATTGAACTGTTCAAAAACAATCTTAAACCATACATATATCTATATAATTTGGCATAAAATTTATCATTCTTTCATTTTCATATGTCTCTTACTATTGTTCTATAACTATATGGTGAAGATGCTTTTATACGATTTCCTTTTTCTTCTTCAATAAGTGCACCTTGAGCATTTGATTTCAAGTAGATTTGATGCCTTACGAATCTCATATATTATCAACATTGAAGTGGGTAGACATCAAGGACCATTCTTACTGTATTTTTCAATTTTGCTGACTTTGAGTTCATTGTCCTATGAAATGCTCCCGATCCACACTAAAGAAATGATTCTGAAACCTCTATATTCATAATTCTACACTAAAAAAGTGAATTATCAGGTATTATGGTCTTACGGGTGCAATTTCTCATGTCCATGGTGCGGATGCCCAACCACTGAGAGTCCGGTCCGAACCCAGGACTGGTCGCGGCGGCCATCTTGACGGCGTATCGTGTAGCAGCCTCAAGGTTATTGAGGACCATGGAGTTGATTCCTGCAGCCTTCTCAAAGCAGTTATAACTCCCATCAATGGCTGCCTCTTGCTTGTAACAGATCTTGTACCTGAAAGGAAGATACACAAAGAAGTGGTAATTGCTTGTCAATAATGCAACTTTATATCTCTCTTTATGTCCCCTGCTTTTTAAAGATCTGCTATGCTTTGCTCTCATTGTGATTCAAACTTAGAACAAGAAAGAGAGAAAAAAGTCTTGTTTGTTGCAATATCAAATCTATACTAATTATTCAAAAAAGGAATACATTTTCCTCTATCACAATGCTTCTTAAAAATCCATACACTGAAATGCCAACCTCTTGACACGAAAAAACAACAGACAGAGTATCCTAAAAAAAAAACAGATTTTGGAGAGAAAAATCAGATTTTCACGATACCTCGACACTACCACTGGCCCGTCAGTCCTGGGTCAGCAAAGTTTCAGAAAAATATTTGCTCTTTCATTAAAATTTAATGAGAAAATAGTAAAGCAAAGTTTTTGTTGGGGTTGCGGGGGTTTACTTGTACATGTTTCTATGGGATTCCGCTGTTTTTATGGGGGGTTTTTTGTGTTTTTTTTGGAAAAAAATATGGAAAATCGTATTTTAAGATTTTAAGATCGTATTTCACTCCGTACTAAATACGATTTAATCGTACTGGTTGGCATGTATGATACAGGCAAAGATAAATGCAAGCATAAAGCTTGGGGGAAGATGCCCAATAGTACTGGTATTCTTTTCATTAATTACTTTACAAACGATTTCTCTATAATCTTTCCCACCATTTGTAATTGCTTAATAAATGACCTCATGTTAGAGCGCGCTATCCACTCACTTTCATATGTAAACAGATGCCAATCTCACACAAGGAAACATCACTGTACACAATGAGAAATCAATCAACATTACAACTGTCTTATGGATAAGATAGAAATGTCTTACATATGCACATGTCCATTGCTATCTTCTAATAGTAGAGGTAGCCACGAGATGTTAAGGCTGAATGGACTGCTACTAGTCAGCCAGAACCATGGGGCACTGTCTGGGACTGTATGGGATGAGAGTAAAAGTACATCACTTGAGACATTTTCATTCAAAGGCACTTTTCTCTCTCTCTCTCTCTCTCTGCAGATGTTTGCTTAATGCAGGTTTACTACAAAAGAAAGAGAAAATTATGTTTATTCTAAAGTAAAGCCCTTTGCACCAGGAAAAGATTAAGATTTTTGGCTAGTCTGATAAAGAACAGAATTAGGATATGATTGTTTGATAGGAAAGTATTAAGTTTTTATTACCCACTTGTTTAATTCCTGAAATGTGAATTCCATCACATCTGACATCTACTTCCAATTTAGTTCAGTAGAAGTTAATACAAGCTGAGAGAAGTTACTACCTCCGTGGGTGATGATTGTTTACCCCCTGCCCCCCCCTCCCCCAACGATCTATTGAACTCTCCTTTCCCCCTCACCCGCCCTCCCCCTCCCACCCTAAACATTTCCGATCTGGCCTACCCACCTACTTACAGATCTGCTTGATGGAAGCATAGAGAGGCTTGGTGACGAAACTACCATCATGGAGAATGAATGCTGAACCTTCTTCTCCTCCTAAACTCTCCTCTCCTCCCCTCCCCTCCCCCCCCCCCCCCTCCCTTCACTCCCCACCCCCTCCCGCCCTCAACATGACTCATCTGAACTATCTTCTCATAGGTCTCCTTGATGGCAGCATAGAAAGGCTTGGTGACAAAACTACCATCATGGAAGATGAATGCAGAACTTTCTTCTCCTCCTAAACTCTCCTCTCTTCCCCTCCCCTCCCCCCCCCCCCTCCTCCCTCCCTTCTCCAACCCACCCTCAACTATCTCCTCATAGGTCTCCCTGATGGAAGCATTGAGAGGCTTGGTGACAAAACTGCCATCATGGAAGATGAATGCAGAACTTTCTTCTCCTCCTAAACTCTCCTAAACTCTGCTAAACTCTCCTCTCCTCCCCTCTCCTCCCCCCCCCCTCCCTTCCTTCCCCAACCCACCGTCAACTATCTCCTCATAGGTATCCCTGATGGAAGCATAGAGAGGCTTGGTGACAAAACTACCATCATGGAAGATAAATGCTGAACCTTCTTCTCCTCTCCCTCCCTTCCCTCTACTCCCCACCCCCACCCCCATTTAACAAAACTCCTCTGGCCTATCTACTTACAGGTCTCCTTGGTGGAAGCATAGACAGGCTCTGTGAGATTACTGCCACCATGAGTGATAAATGTCTTCACTTGGATGGTGTAGTTAGTATAGGGCTGCAGCTGACCTAATACCACTTCTGTGTCATTCATACGGGCTACCTCGGCTGCCCATGAACCATCTGGAATTTGGCAACGTTTATAAAGTTACAAACATCTTAATAAAAATAAGTTTATAACAATCATGCCTGTCGTAAAATGATGAAACTGGTACTCGAGAGACCCTCTATTCATCATAATGGCTATAAATAATTTCCAAAAACTCGATGAGGTAAATATACAAACATATTATCATAATGTCATATGCACTACACAGACAGAATAGTCTTATTATCATTGTTACACCTCGGCTGAAAACTGGACTGAAAAGAATGTAACATAGCTTCTTCCTATACAGTACACATTCAATAGACCGGGGTTAAGAGAGGCAATTGTAAATAAATGTCTTAGTATACAAAAACAAAAACCCACTTAGCCAGGAATCGAGCTGTAAACCTCTCAATGCAACTATGTGAATTAACCATACTGCCTCGATACATCACATCTGAATTGGGGGAAAAGGTTGATTTGCATCAGAGACAGATAGTGAAAATTATATACCTCACTTAAGAAATTCAGCCATCTGATTGGTCGAAATTGCATTCATAAACTTTAACTATTTCTGTAAAATTCCCAGTAACCATGGTTACCGGGAAAATAGTTCAGTCTCCATGGTTACCCCATAGGTTTACATGTTAAAAAATGGTTTGAGCGATCGAGGATACTGTACGTGTGCGAAGAATTGGTCGGTATTTTCATACAAGACAATTCCAAACAAGACAAAAATGGCTCAAAAACTCTCCCAAGATTTCAACTTATCAAATGCAAGACTCGCTGACAGCAAGAACAACAAAAAGGGTACGTGAAATTATCCATAAACATGTTCGTTTAGTTGCTGAAAAGCATAGACGTAGACTCTAGACGAAAATAGATCTAGTTGTCAGGGTGTCTGATCGCGCACCCGATGTTGTGTGTTAAAATTCTTCTCATAGAGTCTGCACGCAATGCAGTCGCTATGCAGTCTACGTGCATTGCGCGACCATGCAAAAAAAGTTTTGTTTTTTTTCAATTCGAGATTCAAACCTTTATCTGTTGTGATCCTGAAGGTGATACTCAATAAGTGAGGTGTCATATGAAAGCGCAGGTTCTTCTCCATATTACCCACAGGGCCGGCCCACCCCCAAAATTGTAAAAATATCTTGCTTAGACTAGAATCTAGATCTAGTCTACTCTCAAAGATACACTCATAAAAAACAACTGTGCAGATAAACTAGAGAAAGGCCAAGGTGGTGTCATTAGTTGACTTTTTTTGTTTTCGGCATATAAAAGTATTCATGACTGCTTTAATATTCGAGAAATAGTTGTTTTTATACGCTCTCGGGAAGGTTACAATTGGGCTATTGCCCGAGGCGTTCATTAATACTATACTATTAACTATTTACCTGGTGTTGGGTAGTAGTAAATGGAGTAGCCTTTGACATCTGGCTGTGGCACAGGTTTCCATCTCACTGTGATGGAGTGGCTATCACTCACAATGGCAGTCACATTATTCGGTCGGAACGGCCTGTTCTCTGCACACCATGAAAAACAGTTTAGAAAAGAGACTGTCAGAAAATGAGCAAAAGCTAATCAAGGCGGTTGAACCTAGTACATTAATAAGTAATGAAGTCACTGATCATAATTTATTTTAGAAAAGGTATTGACAAGAGAAATGCTACATCTGGGACCAGTTAAAGATAAACTTGAGTTCTGGTAAAAAAAGAAAATGAATTCTCACAGAATCTAACGAAACTTACACTGAATGTTCAAGATTTCAAATAAATGTCATGTACCAAACAATTTTGGAAGAAAATGTATACTGGCTGAGTAATGAGCATAGAAAGATAAGGAAATCAGGGTAGTACCAGCCCCGACAACATGTGTGTTGTCCCATGTACAGCTTTCTGTGTAAGTGATTGTTACTGTACCAAGACTCTGCCAAATTTATGATGATTTTGATGACTCCAGAACCTTGCATTACACACCATTACTTACATGCTATATGATCAACTTTTCTGATCCATTCCACACCTTTTCTTTCACAATGCAATCGCATTACCAGAACTCAAGTTTATCTTTAAGGTTGGTAATATTGGAATAAGATTTACAATAAAGGAGCAACATCGTAGATGTACTTGAGAATACAATGATTTGAATTATAATCTAACAGAAAACACAGAAGTCCTGAATAAATAAACAAGGCTCATACTAAAGAATTGTTCACATATGGCGTAGTAATATTAATAATAATATTAAATTTTTATATAGCGCTTAATACAAATGTCTCTAAGTGCTTTACAAATATACTATTACCCCAGTCTTTGGATTCAGTGCTTGCCCGCACACAATGTGTGCACAATCTCCACTCCCTGGAGAGCATTCCAGCCAGGCATTACATGACGCTCAAAAACTGTTTGACCAACAATGACGGTCGCATCCTACTGGGTACCGATTAACACCTGGGTGGAGAGTAGCAAGTGCAGGTTAATATCTTGCCAAAGGATATTAGTGCCGTGTCGGGATTCGAACCCTCGACCTTCGCATCTCCAAGTCAAGCGCCTTATACCACCCGACCACGACACTCCCAGTAGGAGACAGATTCACCCACCTCCTTTCATACCATTATCATAGATGACCCACCTGGCACTTTGACATTGAAGAACATAGCTCCCGACACAGTCCCTGCCTCGTTAGTAGCGACGCATTGGTAGACGCCAATGTCCTCAACCATGGAGTTCCAGATGACCAGCATGCTACGCACCATCTCACCCGCATGACCCCTGATAGGGGTCGTTTGGCTGACCCGCCCCTTGATAGGGACCAGTTCACCATCCTTGTACCATGTGACGATGGGAGGGGGTTTCCCGCCCACAAAGCAGGTCATACGCCCAGTCACACTTTCACTCTTCTCTTTATCCTCGACAGGTAACCGGAAGTAGGGCGGCTCTGTAATCATCAATACATGATTTATTTAAATAAATATTTTGTTTAACTAGATGATTTCAGATGAGTATTAAATATGCTTTTGCACAGTAGGGCCTAAAATGAATTGCTGTTTGATTACTTTTGCCAAATATACAGATGTACTGATATATATCAAATAAGACGTAATTAGTACTAGGCTATATATCTACAATCTTTACTAAATATTTCAGCCAATAAATTACTCTTGTTGATTTCTTGTCAATTTGTTCTGGCCTGTAATCTGCAAAGCTTGCTATTGTTCCACACCTACTCGTGTAGATTTCACATCTAAATGAACAGGTGTTTCCTTTGTAATATACAACCTGTCGATCAAAGAGACCTAATGTGCCTGGTACCTATTTCTCTGTGAACCGGCATACATTCAATATAAATAGGTGGTGTCGGACACAATCGATATTCACATGTACTTAAATACTCTCTGCAGAATAGCTGAGAAAATGATATTTTTGTTATTTTTATTCTTTCTGGAGTATACAGCATCTCCTCACCCCATGCTAATTATATATTTTTCTATTACATAACACTGCCAACCTTAGATTGCATAATACTGTCTATGTTACAAACATTTATCTTAAGATCAATACTCTGTTTTGCCGCTAGCACAAAACTGCACAAACATGACATAATCTTCAATATGCCCCTTGCTATGTTACCATATCAATCATATATATCAGGTTCACCTAAATTGTCAGAGCAGTAGAAGTCTATATGCTGAATGGGACAATTTCAAATACCATAGCTGCAACCATTCTTAAGGTACCAACCACCTAAATAATAGTTTGTGTACAGCAAGCAGTTTTGAATGCAACCTAAACAAATTAACCTGGCATTCTATGGGTTGACTGTAAAGGAGTAAAAAAGAAACACAGATAACATCAAAAACCATACACAAGGAACCAAAGTCCGACTTGGGTGTATAAGTGCAAGTGTGTCGACTAGTCTCTTAACAATCACTTTAACACTTATTGAGAGTGTACTTGAACTTGCAATAGTGCTTTATAAAAGTGATATTAGACGCTCATATTTTGATACAATACAGCGCTATGGAACCCCTATGTACAGAGCAAAATAATCTGTTGCTAAATGGTACCCTTCAAATTATCACGATGGAGAAAAAAAAAAAAAAAAAACAAAAAAACTTACGCAGGATGTATAACAATGCAGAGACCATATCTTCCTCCCCCGTCAGCAAGTTGAGGGCGATGCACTGGTATGTTGCTTGATCGTCCAATGAAACGTTTCTCAACTGGAGGTTATGATGTCCGTAAGACGTACTCTCTTGAAGAGTGATATCCCTTCTATCTGTATGTTCGAAAAACAAACATTACAAACCATTACTTCTTAACATTTTTGAAGCAGATATTGTTTACTGTAAGTGCTGTTATCTGGCTGTATCTAGCTCCTAGAGGGATTTTTTGGGGGGGAATTGATGTTTCCAAGTGAACAGAAAGAATAGAAAAAACTTTCTACAAAATTATATTTATAACTAGGGTAACAAGGGAGTCGTATTTAGATGCAGTGTTTCAGTCTTAATTGTAAATTATTAAGGCTGTGCACAACAGTGTAATGAGGTACCCGAGTACACTCCCAGGCTCACAAGTGAATACTCGAATATTCAGACGCCATTTTTTTTGAATTTTTTTCTTTTTTTGCCACCACCATACCTCTGATGCAGTATTCCAGTATCGCCGAACACGCATGCAATTTTACTTCGAGTTGCAGTTTAAGGCGCAAATTTAATAATAATAACAGTGAACAATGCTGTTTTTAAAACCAAAGATGGCAGAATAATCCATTGTCCTCCAAATCCAAACAGAAATCTGGACATTTGGTCCCAGTTTCTGAGTGGCGAGTTTGACAGTGCTCGAGTTGGGAAACATTTTTACCGACGGTACCATGCCAGCGGCCGCCGCTCTCTCTGGCAGGGGCAAGGGTAGGCCTGGACAATTTTTTTTTTTTTTTTTCCGGCCGAATATTCGGGTACGAGAAATCGTACCCGAGTAGTTGTCAACCGTGCGGGTACTCGAGCATTCAACAACCCGTCGCAGCCTTATAAATTATCACAGCAAACTTTTAATAATTTCCTATCAAATGTATCTATAAATTTGGGTCCAATAATCTACAACTATTCAATCCTTCTAAACTTCTAAAGTTATACAGTATGCGCCCTGAACCAACAAAAAAGAATAAAACAAGAAAAAAAAACTTATTACAAAGAAAATCTTCACAAAACTTACACTTATAAATATCATTATTATCTGAATATTTATCAGTTTTAAAATCTAGCTTACTTTACTTGAATACTCCTTTTGAGGAGCACTCCTTTTGAGAAGCAGTATCATTTAATAAAAACAAAAAGGCAACTTTTGAAAAGTTAACAGAACAAGCAAAACGAAAATGAAATGAAAATGAAAAATAAAATAAACAGGATAACACATCTAATCATCAATTGGCCATGACTCAGATGCAGCAAGGTGAAGTAGATAACCTTAGAGTCCTTGAAAGCAGACTACACTGTACTTGCCCTTGTATAACCTCAACGTACCTGTCTTCATTCATGAATAAGGGTGATTACATTACACTGCTACTTATGTGCTAGGATGCTGCATCTTAAATGACACATTCATACAACCAACCGCGCCTTTCTTTCACTCTTCTTATGTAAAACCAACTATTTTTTTTGTAGGGTGTGCAGTAGGAGTTGAAAAAAATCTGGACATGGCTATTATTGAGATGAGAAAAGCTTTTTAAGCTTAAACAATGGTTATTAATTAATTGCAAATACAATAATCTCATACAGTGAAACCTGTATATAAATTATATTGATTATGTATAAGTCTTAAAGTCAAATTGTATTATATTTACTTTGTATTGCATTTATTTTGATTTTTTTAGGATGTGAATTCCACTCAATTCAACTGTTGAGCTGCCATGTGGTTCTTAATAAAGACCTTTTCAAATCAAATCAAATCAAATCAAATCAAGACCAAGATCAAGAAAAGTGGTATTTATAGGCAGGTGGTCTTTAAGTAAAGTATTTTTTAGTGCACATTTAAATGAGAAACACTTTTTAAGGGAAACAGGAAATGTGGTCTTATAGACAGATGGTAGCTAAATCAGGTTTCACTGTATTCAGTAACATTTGAGAAAAAAAGCAAGTGATATGTGCAGGTGAGCTCATTTTCTTGATCTTTTACTCCTTCACAGCCAAGTACGTCATAGTTGTTTCATTAGTAACATGAGCTATGACAAATTTGACAACTCATTTCCTTCTCTCTTTGCAAATAGGAGCATTGTTCACCACATTGTGGATAGGACTTCTCGAAAGCAACATTATATGTGGAAGTTTTAACTTCCAAGCCATGTGAGGTACAGCAAATAAGAATGCATATCAAGGAACTTGCATGAGGCAGTATTCTACATGTATCTTATCAACATACCATGAAGATTTTCGATCAGAAAAATGCACATGTACAAAAAGGGGAGAAAAAAAAATCACAATCAGTAATAATTCCCACGTGGGACCAGACCTCCCTTCAGTCAGCTCAACAATTTTTTGTCTCAAATTGAAAAGATAAATTACCTAGGTTAACTAAATGTTAAATATATTACATTTCCTATTATAATGAATATTATATCTTGCATCAAAAATTTGTTGGCTTTTGATTGGTTGAGAACTCGTCACATGACCAAAAATATTTGACCTATTTTTAGAAAGTACTATATGAGAGTACTATTTTGGTTTACTATTTGGGAGTTGAAATTTTTTTTTTTTTAATTGAATCAATTTTTCTTTTTCAAATCTTAATTTAATGAAAATAAAATATTTAAATCTTTTTAGATAAAAATTGACACTTTTTTTCTTCCCAAAAATGTTTTTTTTTTTTAAATAAATTTTTGATGCAGGATATAAAACAAATATACCATGCCTTCTATTCGAGGTACTGGTTAAACTATGGGCCTCGGTGACTCCAAAAGTACCATTTGCTATTGGAGTCACCTTTTGCGCATAGTTTTAACCAGAACCTCTCAAGGCAGTGTATATTTGTATACTAGTTACTACACATACTTCCACCTACATGTATATTGTACATGTATATCTTGCTTAAATCTTACATGCATTTTCTACTATTGCCCTAACTTATTTCCTCACATTTTCAATATCTAAAATTAGAAACCTAAAGTGTGACAAATTTGTATTGAAGAGAACTAACATCTCAAGTGAATGTGGGCAGAGGAGAATAATTCCCCACCTGCTACTCGATCATCACATAACATGAAGCAAAAATACAACACTCACATATCATCAATCATTTCTACCATCTATGTTAGCAATTTTAAAAAGGAATGTTTTTTTGTAATTGTTTTAATACACATAACTAATGTTGAGAAGCGTGTACCAGGAAATGGTGCTGCCCATATGCCCTCTTTAAAAGCTATTACTTGCAGGGAACATAATGATATGCAAATTTAGTTAGGTGATCTGCAGCAGATTTAAAAAAGGAACATTTTTTATAATTATTTTAATACACATAACTAATGTTGAGTAGTGAGTACCGGTACCAGGAACTAGCGCTGCCCATATGCCTTCTTTAAAAGCTATCATTTGCAGGGAACATAATGATAGCCAAATTTAGTTAGATGATCTGCAGCAGATCACCTCTTGATTTCACTTATTTGTCATTTCAGATCCGCTGCAGATCACCTAATTTGTCAGCAGTGACAAATTCCAGTTTAGTTCTGTTTCTACTTCTAAGGGTTTTCTTATAAAATAATAGTCCTGCCAAATAGTAGAAGTTAGTTGCTGATGGCAGTTCTTATAATTCTTACATAGGCACTTCTGACATGTTAAAGAATGACTCAAAAGAGCGATCATGTGGTGATTAATGATATGTACACGCACCACCTGTTTGGGTACTCTTAGAGAGAATCTAGTGAAGCAAATAACTAACAAGAAAAAAGTGGTTTTTAGAAACATAACATAACCGTGCAAACTTTGCAATCACAATCATGAAAAATAAAGACATTCTCAAAGATTAGTTTGAAAAGAGACACTTGCAGAAAGTCAATATTTTGAAAGCAAAGAAGACTTTAGAAGAAGAATCCACCACAAGATAGTTAGGTTGATAAGGTTATACAAGGGTAAGGACACCGTAGTCTGCTCTCAAGGCCTGCTCTAAGATTATCTACTTCTCCTTACTGCATCTGAGTCATGGCCTTGAATGAGAGGATACAAGTACCATTTACTATAGCCATCTTTCTGACCTGCCAAAGCAAGGTTTAGGTATGTACAAAGTTGTTCCATGCATGGGAATCGCGGACTGCAGACTCGGATCATCGCAGTCATCGTAACTCATGCTTAATTGGACTCGTCTCCGATCCGTCTGAGTCTAAGACATATCCCGTCCAAAATTTCCCTGCATTTACCTCAAGGGCATCCAATACTTACATTAACATCCTTCTGGCTCTCAGCGGATTTATACCTACTAATAGTTAATGGATATTGACTGGTTTGATGGTGAATGGTGAACTATTGCCCTGTGGTGATACTGTACCTTGAAACTATTAGTCACATGGCTATAGTTTTAACTGTGACCCCCCCCCCCCCCCAAACGAGCAGTCAATATTGTTATTTATACCACATCCTCTGAGTGCATCTTTTAGAAAGGACATTTTTTGGGGGAAAAATAATTTTTTACATAGTGAGCATGTCTTACTGTCCACTTCTAAAATCAAATTTCAAGTTTATTTTATACATCCCTACTTGTATGAGCAAAACAAGAGAAAATGCCCTGACGTTACTTTTTAACTTTTCCCTGATCATTGTGATGTGGTGGTCTGGTGGACAAGAGCCAAATATATGCTCACAGTTTAACCAAATAGAGGCCTAGAATATTGAAAAATTGTATCACTAGCAATGCTGTCAGATGCTATTGTTACGTCTAGCAATGCCGTGGTCAAGTCCAAAACTCTGCAAACACCCGCTAGCACTTGATGTAGTGAGAACATACCTGTTCGCTTCCAAGTGACATCCACATTCTCCTGGCCTGTCAGCAGACACTCCAGTATGACATCACTGCCAGCCATTGCATCCATGTCTTCAGGGCCAGCCAAGATGCCCCAAGGAGACTCTAACGTTCTTGTCGTGACCGAGACGGTCATTTCTGCACTGGTCTGACTCTCTTCGAATTCATTGCTCACATTACAGCTGTAAAGGCCTGAGTCGCTGGACTGAGCTGAGGTAATATGGAGTATCGCACCATATTCAGGTAGTTGGATGATTCTGGGTGGAAACAAATAAATCAATGATGAATAAGCCAGTTCAGGTGGCAGTCTGAGGCTCTGAGCATGAGCAGATAAAAATCATTGCAGACCAAATTGTGAAATACATGAAGACAAAATACTGGATATGTACTCATGAAAGTTATGTAATCATTATTCATTTATGGACAAGCAGTGCACACCATGATACACAGGTGGAAGTATTCTTTGAAAAGGGGAAACAAAAGCTATTTATGTAGCACCTCCATCAAAGTGTACAAAGTGGGACCTCTTCATGTTATGAAGATCTGCGGATATTCAGGGTCATTTGGGACATGTGCTAACCGTGAACTGCTCTATTATAAAGCTTCTTATATGACTTTCCTCCTGTTCATTAAATTTAAACTGTTTTCAATGGATGCATTGAAATAATCAATACTGTAGAAGGAAATCAATAGCTATAAAAGTTCATAAAATACTTTGGTCTCCCTAGTCTGAAGGATCTTGGTTTCTCTTGATCAAAATGAATTAATATGGAATATTGTACTGCATCCTGAGTTGGGATAATTCTCTACCAATTGAAGTATAACAGTAAGCTTCCTCTACAATTCATGCCTGAATTCAACATTTCAAGGGTAATCAAAGTCACATACTTCAATGATTTTCCCTATTTCTCCATTTTAGAAACAAGTATAAACTTGTCCCAACAAGGCCTAATCAGGGATTTACATTTGCAGGGGCACTTTCCATAAAGGCCTCATAATGCTACGGACTGCCCCCCCCCCCCCAGTCCCCCTTCCGAAATATAAACTGGATCCTGCTGCCTACAGCCCACAGACATAATAAAATTATATGAAGAATTGTAGTGAAATAAGGTTAGCGTGTAGGCTTACTTAAAATACAGGTAGTGCGCCTCGTCTGCTGCAAATTGCATTGAAGTACATTGTGAGATAACTTACATAGTAATTCAGATCAGAGGACTTTGCTAGATATAAATGTATGTGTATGTATTCATTTAAAGAGAGGTCAGGTAGGAGTAAACAGATGAAAAAATGATGAAAATTTGCTAGTAGGATTAAAATTTTCCACTCTACAAAGGTGTGAAATTTCTTTCAAACGGGAGAGCTTTGTAGAAATTTGGACTCAAATCAAACTAACCTTGGAGTTCCCGAGAGCAGAGGAATGCCACCTTTGAGCCACATGACCTTTAACCTCCCATATGAAGAAGCATCTACTTGGCAGAGGAGTCGTATCGATGCTCCCTCTTGGACTTGCGTATTGTCTGGCAGGACTTCAGGAACCCCAATCCCTGAGGGGGGAAAAGAATTACATCAATCACAAAAGAGATAAACATCAATTCATACATCAACATTCAATGCACTCGGAGAAAAATTCAATCAAAATATAGAATTTTGAGCTTAGATATTAGCCTTGTGTATACCAATACCAATTATGGATGTATGTGTACATGTAAGTCGCATACAGCATTTTGAGAACAATACCTTCATCATAATCTTTCAATCAAGCTGATGCTTTAATAACTCTTTCTTTTATTCTTGTAATAAGACAGAAATTATATACACAACAAGTCAATTAATAACTCACTTGAAGAGTAAGAATCAACCTCTTCTGTTGGAATTTGGATATTAGTGTTCCCAGGAATGTTTTTATGAAAGGCATGCACACACCGTCGAGCCAATAAAGCACAATGACTCGGAAATGGCCAGAAGCTACTACCATCCTGCTCTCAACCGACTCAAGAAATAATAATCCATTCTTGTATAGCGCATAACACAATATGATATAATGTCCCTAGGCGCTTCAAAAGAGCTTTAGAAAATACAACCCTAGCTTTAGCTTCGGCAGTGCATTTCAAGAAATAATCCTACAAGTTACCCATTTACCTCACCTGGGTGAAGCATGGCAAATGTAGATTAACGTCTTGCCAAAGGACGTTAGTATTGTGGCAGGGATTCGAACCCTGTACCTTGTGGTTCAGTCCATAGACTAAATCCACTGGACCACAACACCTCTATGCTAAACATATCAAACACCAGCAACAACAAAATGAAAAGTCGCTGCTCCAGTGCCTCCCTAATTTTAAACTTCTCAATCTCCAATCAGCTGTAATATTCTCAACACTAATTATGATGTCTTTCTCTTTTACGAATTAATAATATTAATAAATGAATATTTTAATATTAAATATGGAAGGCGCCGAATCCACTTGAAATCAGATGCAATTGTGAAGAAGAAAAAGTTGAATATCTGTTCCCAATCATTCTTTAAAAATGCCTCTATAAGAAAGTCAATCAAATTTCAAATTTAAAAGAGTATTGCTTTCCACCCTCAAAATACCATGTACCTGTTGCTAGGACCCCAGAAATATATCCAAGATGCCACATTACCGGTAAAATCATGTGATCACAAGAAAAATTGGAGTCCTAAATCTATGAGTTATGTGGTTGCAAAAGAACATCCTTATTAACATGAATATTATATCAATTATCAAAGGTCGAGACCTGCCTAAATGAAGGGATGCCTGTCTGAATTCCAATACGTTAAGTTATCATCCCTTACAAATTTCATACGCCACGTAGGCTCTACATAATAATGACACAAAACGCAACCCCCTTCACTACACTTTCTGCTCTTGTTTCTGTGTTAAATTTATATCCTAATCTACCCGATTCCAAACGCTTTCCTCTCTATAACCTTGATATTCAACTGGCCTGGTTTTCATGGGATTTCCCCCTCATATTTACTGATTTTTTTAAAATATTTTTCTACTGGTACATGTACTTGTCTTTCATGTGACTTTACACTGAAAATTTTGAAGGCGACCCTAATGCGCAGCAGCCACATACATACATGATAAGAATAATAACAACAAAAACAAGAATAGTAAATAATAATAACAATAGTTACAGTAACCACCATTTGGCATGATCTACATAGTAGAATTAAATTAAATTAAATTGATTAATTATCAAATAAAGCGTACCAAATAAAATGGAAACCTACAGTATATCCTTATCCTTACAACTTTTCTTTCAATCTGGACAAGAACAATAGGCCAAGGCCTACAGTGTACTCTATGAAATGTATGTATAGCAGGCCTACACATTCAGTCACTTCCTATCAAAACATTGCACAAAATAATACCCTAAAATGCCTCCCCTGAATGTATACTCTGCATAAGGGTCCTGAACCCGATTATATATGGATCATACTCTCGTGATATATGGATTTTGTAGCACTATAAATACGAAAGAAAGGTGATTTATAACAAAAAAACATCAACTCATGACCCATTGAAGTGAAAACCAAGGGGAGTTCATTCCTTCTCTATTATGTGCTATGCTAGGATTTGTTTTCATTGCGAGCACAACTGTTTTTTTCTTCAGCATACTACAATGCCATGTGTGTATGTGTGTATTACTACTCCACACATCGCCAGGTTGAAACCCCGTTATGCACATTGGGCCCGACAGAGCAAGAAAGTAAGCAAGCGTCATACAGGCACTGCATTCTGACTAGCCTGTCCATGACACATTAATGCAGTCACCAAGCCAATGGAACAATAATGCTCACAGCAGCAGGCAGGCAGGCACACTTTACACAGAGTATTGAAGGTCCATGGCATTGTACTACAACCCCTGGAGCCTGCCTGCCTCTCTGCCTGCTTTGCTTTGCTTTGCCTTGCCTACCCTGCCTGGCTGTATGTAGTACGCAAGCAACATTGAGAGTCATTTTGGCTTGCAGTTTTATGAACCCTACAATACATGTGTGTACAATTGGCATGGTTCCAACACATTCACCCAACGCTAAAACCCCTCCCCCTCCAATTCTCTTTCTCTCTCCTAACTAAACACACAATGCTTCGATGCATACCTCTCCTCTTTGTTATTCTGCAATTATAGTGTTTTCATTTGCTTTCCAGCAATGTGCCGTTATTCCCCCTGCGTATGAATGTAGTGTAATACTACCAGTGACTATTGCTGTTGACGATGTCAAATTCAGATTGCAGGACATGTCTATGCAAAGGGTACGCGGAGTGCATGGATATTGTGATCAAACATCTGTACACATACAGAGTACATTTCCCCATCTGCAATAAACAAAAATGCCCTACTCTTGACTTTGTTGTTCTTCTTGGCATACTTACAGAGGACAGATACGAATCTCCATACTGGGTATCAATATTTACTGATAGTTTGAATGCACAGAATCCTTAAACAACAGAAATAAATGTTTATTGTAAATCTCTGTGTATAAGACGCACCAGTGTATAAGACGCAACCCTATTTTGGGGGCAAAAAAAAAAATCACTTTTTTGTTGTTGCAGACTAAATTGTAGGCAGCAAGCCAGGTCCGTGTTCAAAAACTCAAGTGGAGAAGGACCTTTATTTTACTGCAAGGTGCAGTTGAAGGCGTCGATTTGTGCTTGTGAACTTGTCACAAATAAACAACGTCGTTTTCAAAACTAAAGATGACAGACAAATTTTCTGCTAAGTCCAAACAGAAATTTAGCCATACAGGTAGTATCGTTCTAGTTTCTGAGTGGTGAGTCAACACACCATGTATGACTGAGCTGGGAGACATTGACAGATTTACAGTGCTGCTGCCTCCTCCCCCACCCCCTCCCTCAAATTTTTTTTTTATCAATTATTCAATAATTTACGTATTCTTCAAAGGATTACTTTCTTTTGGATGGATATTTTACAAAATATTTTTTCAAATGCCAGTGTTGATAAAAATTAGATTAGGGAAATTGGCGGAAAGTCAGATTACATCTAAAAAGATATTCAAAAACTTTTAAGGCTTTACTGATTTAAAGGTAATACAAAGTATTGGTATGGGGACATGAATTTGGTTCAAATGAACATATTGGAGCATATGCGATCCTACAATATTCAGTGATCATTGTCGCAGTTGAAATTGAGTCTAAAGTGATGAAATTGTAAATAATAAAGTCTTTATGTTGTATAGCTCCCTCCCAAGGTCGAGATGTTAATTTATCTTTAAAACAATGTTTCTTGACTAAAATGGACCGGTTAGCTATTCCCGTTTGGGAATTATATATCACAACTGCATATTCTGCGATTTTCATGGTCGCAGCTACCATTGGATGGCCGTATAAGCTATTTGAAATTTTTACATTCAATTTTTCTCGAAAGCAGAAGTGTTTTAGGGGCTAATATTTCTAGTGCTTATAATACATCCTCAGGGGCATCCAATACATCAACATATTAAAGAATCGCTATCCGGCCATTTTCAAAATTTCCCCAAACTTTGTATTACCTTTAAGAAATATTGATAACCTTTTTCATTGTTTTCCTTGCAATCAGTTATTTGCATCGCACTAAAAATGATTTTTTTTTTTTTTTAAAGTTTATCCATTCTAGATCAAAAACCAATAATCAATGTCCTTCAGAGGGGTGTGTAAACTATCCAATAAATTGTCTCAGGGTCATTCCATGTCAAATCACCCAATGGTTTTAACCCGACCATTTTTTATTTTGATGAAACTTAGTGTACTTGTTGAATGTGATCTCACAGCACCAAATCCAAAATTTTAGGTCAATCGGGTGAGGGGTTTGGGAGATACGGCCCACCAAATTTTGGGATTTTTTCAAAAATGGGGGTGGCGGGCCTACCTTTGAACCCTTGTATCTCGGGACCTAATGGCTTCTATTGGTAAATCAATAATGATAAATCAAAATCGATTTTAGCAACTGTCCACCAAAATTTGTATTGTTGGAAAGGGTATTCAATAAGGATTCCAATTCTGCCGCCATTTTGAAGATTCGTACATGTTGGGGTACTTTGACCTCTTGACCTCAGATTTGACCTTGAAATTGACCTTGTGGATCACGTAACTTTGACAACATTTTTCATGAAATGTAATCTCTGACATGTTCACTAAAACATGTAAAAGTTTCAGAGATATAATATTTTTTGTTTAGGAGCAATAAGGATTGAAAGTATTCATGCTCACAGATATTCACAATAAACCCTATTATGTATACAATACATGCAATATGCACAGTACAACATACATCTTCCACATGCTTTTTTGTTTTAGGCATATCCATCCTAAATGTCAGTAGTACTTGAATAGAAATAAAATGACAAGTTCATATAGGCCTAAAGGGTTAACAGGATGTATGGCTTTAGGCCTCTGAGTCGGTTCTAGGATAATTACCCCCCTGGAAAATTAACCCTCAGGAAATTCCCCCCCCCCCCCGAGGACAATTACCCCCCAAGGACTATCACACCCAGAGGATTATTACCCCCAAGAAAATT